ACAAACTGAATTCAGTGTAACATTAGTCAGCAGCAGTGAAATGCAGACAGAGGTTATTTTACTCTATGACAGTTTATTTCACTCTGTATAACCGTTTATTTCTTTAATTGCACAAACTCATTTTCCTCTGCTCATCAGCTGAAAAACCATTGAAACTGAGACAAGGCTGTTTTTGCTTCAAGCTCCAATACTTGAGTAAGCTGGACACGCTCAACTCGTCATTGTTGCTATGTTATTGGTTTAGCAGAGGCAGCCTTACACTGCAACAACTACTTCCTACAGAAAATGTGCAGAAATGTGAAAAGGCCTATTATACCACTGACCACATGGCTGTTCATAAACATTCTAACATGTCAAAATTCCATTCTGTGACTACCAAACCAATCATAACACTACCTACACTACTGTTCAAAGTTAATCATACTATCATTTTTAAACACAAGTTTACCCAAGTGTAGAAAGTGTGCCTCAGTATCTTAACTACTACTAATCTTTACTACATGCTGATTCAGACTTTGGGACACTTCAAAACCATGTGGAACAGGGATACAGCCTTACTTCCTGCTGCAAAATGCAGGGGTGTGGCTACAATAAGGCCCTGCCCATGAACTAAAACCACATTTCTGTGGTGACATGAAAGTGTGGAAGAGCAAGCAATTGTTTACTTTGTTTCAACCCTAGTGTCCTACCCTTTTATTGAGCACAGAAAAAGCCCATACCAGTGGCCCAACAAAAATTGTGAACCTGAAAAGCATCTGAAAGCAAGCCATGTTTATTTCTGCCAAGATGTAGCATCAGTGATGAAACATCAAGCTTGAACGAAGATAACCTCTTGGCTGGACACAGATTCATGCGACACTTCCGGTTCTGCTGCAGCAGTATCTCTCCCTGGTTAACGAGAAAGATGAGAAATTGGTCCATAACAGAAAAAGGGGGAAGGAAAAAAAACAACCCAACCTGAAGCCTACTGAACTTCACCTACTTTTTCTACCACATCTTGGTTCACAAGAATCAGTTGCAGTTGGACGGCACACATCTGTATTGCAGTGGATAAAAACCTGGACAAGAGCCAAAGTACAAATAAACTTTACCAGAACAAAAACAAGGTAGATTCTAGTCCACCCACTGCCTTCACTTCAGCTTACATTCCCATTCTTAATCTTAGAACTGCCCCTTTTCCAGCCTTAATTTTGCTTACACAAGTGCTTCTCATCTCAATTCTCCTGAACAGTCTTATGACCAAAGGATTCTGGTCTGACCTGTCACACAAGACATACCAAGCAGTTAAGTTTTTCTACCTACTTACTAAACATGCATTACTGTTTCCTTCAGGGGAACCATAGTGGTGGGATCCACAAATGTGAACATCGAGGACAAACCGCTTGTAGTGGGTTGGATAAAGAAGCCCTGAGGAGCCATCCACTGGAACCAGGGTGGTCAAGTAACGATCATCCTGGTATGGGCATCTACAAAGAAGAACACAAGTACTCTGCCCTACACAGAAGCTCATACATGTACAGTGATGGAGCACATTACCCATCCACTAGGAGGTCCCACTGTGGAAGGCTGAGGGGGTTAGGAGAAGAGGTTGCCCAGCAGCGCTGCAAGGTCAGGACAATATTGGGATCAGACCTCTCCAAGAGCCTCACTTCCACATACACAGGCTCCCTCAAGACCTTTGTGACTGGGTAATCAGCCTCAGTGTAGTATGAGGTGTAAGCTGCCTGTTCTGTTGCAGGAAAAATAAGTCAGTCAAAATTACAGAAGAAACCCCCTCGAACATACTGCAATAAACATGCAGAACTCCTTACCGGCCACACATCCCTTTGTGACACACTGACTATTAGCTAGTCTTAGCTCTACTCTAAGAGGACCAGGAACAGCCACAGGGGGTGGAGGAGGAACAGCATTGACCTCAACAACTAAAGCCTCAACATCTGCTGAGGAATACCTGCACTGGAAGAAAAGTCTTGAAGAGGAAGAGACACTAGTTAGTACAGAGTCCTGACCAACATTTACTGGGTGACAAGATTGACTCACTCATAGTAGCTGTCTCTTGTGATTGAGCCAAAAGGTCCAACTCCAACTTCATAGGAAGAGGACATTTTGTTCTCATAGATCACATAACCACCCACATCCTAAACAAATAGACAGAGATAAGCACTCATAACCAAGCACATCAACACAACGCCATCTAAACAGAGTTGATGTGGATACCAATCAGGATCCTTGTACCACAAGCAGTTACAGGAAACTGGTAGATAGCAAAAGCTGCATTAGAGTCAACTGCACCACAGACTCCATCACTTCCTCCCAATAAACTGATTGAATCTAGGCTCAGTCTAGGCAGGGTTGAATCTTTGGCCACCACCAACACAAACTGCCCATCCTTGGTGCACTGCACAGTCACTATGAGCACAGAAAAGAAAAATAAGGCTTAGTCAGCAGATTGCAAACATTACAGCATTCCAAACAGACAACATGAACAGTGACCCTACCGGACATCCCATAGTAGCATTGTTGTCCATCAAAACAGCAGTTGAAAGCTTCACAGTTAGCAGCAGATACACCAGGTTCACCACATGGAACCTTATCATAATCTTCTACTTGACATCTCTGGAAGGGCCCAGGTTTGGTCACCTGTTGTTGAGGCACAGAGCCCTGAGGATCATGCTGCTGAAAAACTGGAGGATTTTGTGCTTGTATCTTCTGTGCTGGAGGGCTCCACAGAGACGCAACTAGAACATCTAAAGAGCCTAAACAAAATGCTAAAAAGCCAGCAACAGCTTGCCACTGCCATAGTGTTCACACTCACAAGCAACTGTTTATGACAGCTATCATTTATTGTGTCTGATTGATCCCACCCCCTCCATTACTTACCAATGATCTTGCAGCTCTGGGCATTTGATCACCACAGCAAATAATGAGTTCACCTGTAACTGTGTCCTAGTTGCTTCCCCTGCTCCTTGGCTACGTCCAGGTTGATGATAAAGGAAAATGTGCTTTTTTTTAACTCCTGTCCTTAATTTTGCTTGACATGTAGCCCATGGCCTCACTAAATATTTTGGAAGAACTGACCATAATTTGACAGTTAAATGTTCAGATTGGACTTTAACCCTTCTAACTGCCCCACAACCCCCAAACCAAATGTAATATGAGTGCAGCCAGATATGCACAAACCACAGTGAAGTTTGTGCCAATTCTGCATCTGATCAGTTGCTTCTAAAGGAGCTTGATTTACGTGCAAACTTCATAGTTGATCTGAAGGAAAAGTTAACACACATGACAATGTTTTTTTTTTTTTCTCAATCACAGCGGAAGCTTTATTCTGAATAATTAAGTTACATTTAAGAGTCAAAGGAAAAACTATTGAGTTACCATCATTTAATACATAATGCACAGTGAAGATTAGCTCCAAGCTATTCATGTTGATTTACTCAATGTGATGACTGAAGTACCAAGGAGACCTCTTGCACATAGGTCACAGGTCTCAAACTCAAGTCCTGGAAGAATATACAGTTGATGTCCCTGCTGACATACCTAATGCACTGTACCCAGGCCCAGATCATCAAGTTGTGAGCTCCTGGGCACAAACGTTTGTTAGGCCACTACTTGGTAATGTTTTCGGTAGGCAGTGCTGTTTCTTTTTAATATCACACCAAGTTAAACAAGGCCTATGCAGCAGCACAGTCAAAATGGGCGTGTTATACACTGCTGAAATGTCAGGTCTCACTTTTACAGATCCCTCCATCTTTTAAAGACCTGGGGCTTCATATTTATACTATTCATCCCATCTTGCTTAATGGACACTAAGCAGGATGGGATGAGAAATATAAACTGACGTTTGGGAAAGTCATGGACAGAGTCAAGTAACCACAAATTTAACGGCTGTAACACAAATTTATGTTGTGTGCTAACAGCATTCTGGAGGATGTCAAAAGATAACCGCTTTACTGACAGAGCTGTCAGCTCTGGTTTGGGGCATTAATAGAGTCTGTAACATCAGTAGTGTAAATTACATAGTTAAAATGGCCATTGTGGTGGTGGGCAGCTCAGTTATGTTAGCTTGTATCTACTTAGCTAACCTAACTAGCTACCTAACAAACGGTGTTCACCTCAGCACTCAGCTGCCACCCACAGCTGGTGTACACATCCTCACTGATTATAGTGGAAACATTTTGATTTTGATGTTCTCCCTCACATTGGTTGCTGCTAGACATGGTGTTAGTTCATTTTTTCCAGTGTGCCACAAGTAAAGTTCCCACCGCAAGTAAAAATTTTATCATAAATGATCATGGGGGCCCCTGGGCACGCGCCCAAAGAACCGATCAGATGATCGGGGTCTGACTGTACCAGTTAATCAGCACATTTAATTAGAGCAGGAAAGTAAACAAACCACTGTACACAGCCTGAAACACCCCTAGCCTGGCTATCTCAAATGTCAGGAAGGTGGAATGGTGAGCACAAGGTTTACACAAACCATCCACTGACTTTATTAAATGCTACATGAATAAAACAATACACCATTTTTTGCCTTCTCTTTATTTACATTCAGCCAAAACTGTGTTGAAGTAATTTTCATGTGGAACTGTAGTAGACATGTGAATCAACTAAAGCATGTCGATGCTATTGGACCCAGTTTTGTCCTTGTTATTGATGGTTTTTGAACATTTGATTCATGTAGTCCCCTGACTTTTTGCCAAAACAACCTACGGAGTAGATTAGTTGTGACAGCATGGTGCACTTGTGATTTAATAGATTAATGCTTTATAGGTTATTAACCTGAGTTTGTACAGGTCTGTCACCAGCAACCAAGAGAATCTACACAACAGGTTTAGTTTCACATTTATTGGTAAGCTACTGAACAAAGTTTGTTTACAATGTGCTTCTACATTTGTAGTGCTGGTCACTGTGGCTGTTCAAACACAGTGTTGCTGTAATGCATGGAATCCATGTCGTTGCAGATCACTTGTGCTCTTAGTCATAGGCTCCATGTTCCCAAATGAGCCACTATATGTGCACTGAGTGGGAAACCAGAGTCAGTGCCTTTCCTTCAAGTACATAGTGTTTAGATTAACTTCATATCATAGTCTTTACTTCATGACAACCATAACAGATTAAGTCTGAGCTTCCCTCCTCTCAATAAGTAGGCTGTCCAAAGATCAAGTCAACATTCACAGAACTTTATTTCAGCTCATGGTCACATCTCACTGCCAAAAAGGCACTTTCTCCCCCACAAAAACAGGACCAAGAGCGAGGTTTCCTTCCCACTGCGGACCTGAAACACAGCAAGAAAAACAATTTAGGAACACAAGCTACAGGGAAGCACAATTGGAGATTTACCATGCAATACGTCCACATGTACCTGCTAGAGGAGACACATTTCCTCCACCCCTGAGGCCACAGCTTGCATCACAGCAACCACAAACCCGGTCATCGTCATCTGCTGTAGTCCATCTGGGTAACAAAACAGTCAAATTCTGGTCAGTCACCTCGTCTACTGTAGAAGCTTAGCCTTTCAGTTTTATGGAAACTGACCTGTTAGCAGTGAAGGAGCAAGCCTTGTGCACAGCATCAGTAGCTTTCAAGAAGCACATGAAGTAGATCTGCAGAGAACAAAGTTCCTTAAGCTCACAGGAGGACAACTTCTTGATACATAAGCACTGCAGGCTTACTTACCAAGCCACTGCTCTGCTGCTGAAACACAAAGGCTTCCAGCTGAAACTGGAGTTTATCCCCCTGAACTCGTGGCATGAAACGAGAGGTGGAGCCTGTGAGCTTAGCATCCACCAGGCACCTAATAGTAGCAGCAAGAAGGGAATTAGCCTGAAGGTGGCCAGGCTGGAGAGTCATAACAAGGAAGTGCTCACTTCAAGCTGGATGGTGAAGGAGGCTTGCTTACCCATAGTTCTCAATAAAGGAATATCTGGGGGTAGCATTCATGTCAGGCACAGCAGTGGCCACACAGCTGTCCACAAATATCCTTAGAGGTACATGGTTGTACTGCATCACAGATGCTTCAATGTTAATGAGATCCCCCAGGAAATACTGGTTGGAAGGCCTCTCAAACTGCCAGTCATCTGGGGGGAAAGAACAAGCACTGTTATAAGGAAAAAGCCTTACATCATCTACAGTGGTCACATTACAAACCTGTCATGAGCCTAAGAGAGAAAACCAGACGTTCTTCAGCTGTCAAGGTAGCAGCATAAGGTATCCAAGCAGGCAGGAGGGCATTGCTGCTCACATTATACTTCCTGCAAACAATTGCAAGACAATCCTAGTTTGTGCACATGCTTCAGGCAGCTAAAAAGCAAAGCTCCAGGCAGTGGCACGTACACCAGAAGATGGACCTCACCGTGGATAGTGACACTCAATGCCAACCACAGCACCACTTGTCCTGACAATTGGAGTTCCAGCAGATGTTTCTGTGGCATAGTGAAGGGTGAAGGTGTAGACTAGCTCATCCTCAGTCATCTGCAGGAAGATGAATGAAGGGAGTCAAATTGAAGGTTCACCACTGAAGATTTAAACAGGCCAGACTTAAGGGAGTAGTTATCCTGCATTTCTTCATTTATGAACTCACCATCAACACACTGTTGCACATCTGCAGCTCAGACTCAAAAATGAGAACCTGAGCAGCAGGATCTTCTCCAGCTGTTGCACAACCTCCAAGAGTGATAGCTGAGGGATTTATCAGTTCCCCAGTTCCAAAAAAGTCCCTCTTCACTTCCACGTGCACCATGCTCTCTCCACATTCAGCTGCTACACTATAAGCTTGAACAGGCTGGCGCAGTTCAAACTGCACTGGGGGCTGTTTAGGCATCTCTGGAGGTTGGGGAAAACGCCATGTAAGCTTCTTCACCGGACCCTGCAGTACTTGTTTGGACTGAACATTCAGTGGATCTTGTGCAGGACTCAAGAAGCCTCCTAAAACAGGACCTCGCACTGAAGCTGCTTGTAGTTGGTGAGGTGGAGCACCAACAAGATTTCCAAATTGTGTTCCTGTTCTTCTTCCTGGAATCTGTGCATTACACACACCAAATACAAGCAGCATCAGACCCCCAAGTCCATTTTGCCTGAGCCCCATCACTGCAAACTCCAACATTCAGAGGACATGTTTTGCCGCTTTAAAATGTCTTTCATGTAGGAGGAAACAAATGTGACCCCACCCCTTTTTCAGTCCACTTAACATGAGTCTGGACATGCTGTATCTGTGACACAGGTGACATCAATGAAGTTTCTTTAAGGGAGTCTTGCAAGGAAATCGATTAGTTGTGCCTTTTAAACAAAGACAAAACTACAACTAAACTTAACATATCTATGTTTTATATACATTTTCAGTGAAAAATTTGAGGTGTTTTTTAAAAATAAAATCAATGCAGGGTTTATCTAGCTGCAGTTTATTGCCATTGTGGTTCAATTTAGAGATGGACAAAGCAAATATTTTGAAACAGTCACAAAAAATGTTTGCTCAGTTCAGTGTGTGGTTGAGAAACTTTGTACCAAAGTCAAACCAAAGTGCAGCCCTGAGTGACATCCTGCTTCAGAGCACACCTGTATCAATTTTTCATTCATTTTTAAAAAGTTTAATAAGTCAGGGTGTTCACAGGTTTAAGAATTGAAAGTTTTTTAAATGTCAATTACAAATGCAATTTGAAGTGCTTAGACTCAATCAAAAGATGACAAAAAAGCTATTGTGCTCAAATTGCTGGCATTCTGTCATTGCTTTTAGTGCAGGTAGAAAAACATCACACAACAGCAAGTCCATTAGTCCCTTTATACATTTACCTATAAACGTATGCCATACAAGGTTCTAAAACACAGTAAGGAGGAGCTAATCTAATGTGAAAGTTCCAGATTTTAGAAGGAATTCAGTAGATTTCAATTTGCTTAAAAGATTCAGTCTAATGGATTAAACATAATATATTTAGCATGTATTTGTTTCGTCCTTCGTTAGTGTTAAATAGCACCCCTTGCTGAGGAGTTTTAGTTTGGCAGCCTTTGTCTTTCTCATGCAATGGCAAGGAAGGAAATAGTTCAGTCTAATACTCCAGCAGCCACGCTTTGCTGTGTGAAGTTAATCTGCTGCGATGCTGTTTGTTCATGCCATCAAAAGCATCGTCTGTAAGTGTTTAAGATATCATACAGACCCCAGATTAATATTTCATAAGTATTTGTGTTTCATGCTCACTTTAGGACTTTAATCTTATTTGTGTTGAAAAATGCTATGTTCCTATATTCTCCTATTGTTAGCTTTGTCTCTGTTCTTTGTCCCTATGTGTTAAACCATACAAGGAGAGCTTAAAGCCAATTTTATACAATATTTGGAATTTGTCAATGCAGTTTGCATAGCTTTAAAATGCTTTTTCTACTAAATAGGCTGACAGTACATAAGTTTCATAATCAGCAGAGCATTGAATTCAGTAGCCTTCTCCAGTCACCCTGTACTGTTGTATTTTATTGAGCATGCTATAGCTCTAATAGCATTACTCTTGCTGTTACCTGTTATTAATAGTTTTCTTATAGTTTCACTCCTATTTACTCAGCACTGTTGATATGCCTGGCTGAACCCAATGCATCATCTGTGTTTTATATGAATAATTCTACCAAACACCTTCTGGATTTTTAACTGACTTGGACTTTAGATTAAAATTATTTTGTTTAGAATAACCATATGCCTTAATTAGGTTTATTTTATTCAAATAAATTATTTTACTTTTATTTTACTACCCTTTTTATCACTCCCAAAGACATCAGAACACTACAAAATTATTTTGCCCAAAAACATTGCCAAAAATAGCTGAAAATAGATCAGTGCGGTATTTGCGCAACAATCAAATGTTCAGTTGCAGTCCTCTACTGAGTTTAGGGTGTGGCTGACAAACCAAACACACATTTTCTAAATTGCTTATCCTTCTGGGTCATGGGGGTGGCTGGAGCCTATCCCAGTGGTCATTCTGCGGAAGGCAGGATACACCCTGGACAGGTCGCCAGTCCATCACAGGGCTGACAGACATATACATTCACACTTCGGGGTTATTTAGTGTGTCCAGTTGGCCTGACTGACTGCTGACAAACTAGTCAGATATAATTGCTGGTAGCTGTAATACACAGAAAAAGTCATTTTTGTGTTGGAGCTGAAGAAGAAATTAAAAGTTGGACAGAATAGCAGTTGCAGATGACTATGTGCTATTCAAATTTGAGTAGCTTTTAGAGAACACTGGACAGGTCCTCGCTGTCAGCAGAGTTCCCCAAATAAAAAAAAAAAAATGTACTGAAGTCCGCTCTGGAAAATCTCCAGTGCAGTCCAGCAGCAAGCAGGATGCTTGAGAATACCTGTCCCAAACAACAGTGTAATTCACTATTAATCTAAGATTAAGATTGAATTATATTTTTATATTTATATTACTTCTTTATTTCTAATGCAAAAAGACATTTTCAGCTGTGCACTGCATTTTAGCTTTTTCTGTTATTGTTGTATTTTAGTGAGATGTATTCATTTGCTAGTACCACACGGTGAATAGCAGTATTGTTGTGCTTTAATTACATTTCAAGATGGAATGTATTAAATTACACATTCAGTATTTTTTATTTTTTTTTTGCAAATTCCCATTTTTAAAAATGTTTTTGCAGGGTAAAGAAGTCACATGACAAACAATGTAGTAGTTGTTTTACCTTTTTGCACAGTCCACATGCACATGTCAGTACTGAAAAGTAATGTCATATGTGTTGCATTTCATGTTCTTTTTTCACTGTAATGATTGCAAGTGAATTTGGCAAAAAGTTCTCTCCATAATAGAGGCATAGTGTGCAGGGTAGTGGAGGCAGGGGGAATGTTTGGAAACTGTGAAGGCATGGGTAATGTTTGGAAACTGAAGGCGTGGGAAATGTTTGGAAACTGTGAAGGCGTGGGAAATGTTTGGAAAATGTATTATTATGCAAAAAATATGCAAATTGACACAGGTTAAATTTGCATATTTGTGCATAATCATAAATTTAGCACTTTCTAAATGAATGTTAAGGTACAGGTATGGCTTCCTGGAAATAACAATAATACATAATCTTCAACAGTTTATCATTCAACATAATCTTTTGTATTGCTTAAATTATGACTTCAGATGTACTTTGAGCTCACTCAGAGGTTTACATGGTAACTCAAGGACAGTTGCCATAACCCCCCCTGCTGATCACAGAGAGTACACAGGTAACTCAACACCTTGGAAGTGTTGTTTGTCATGTGACACATCATGTGAAAGCGAAAAAAGAAAGACCCTACCCTCCACGGATGTTGTGCCTGTTCACAATAAAAGAGCATTTGCCCACATCCACAATGTTTTCCTTGTCTTCTTCCATGCCAGCTTCACTACAAAGACAAAATGATATGTCATTCCCACTAACTAACATCTATGACTCTGGTATATCAGTGGAAAAGATTAATGGGTAGGATATTCATCAGCTGATTTCTCAAGAGCACTGCTATCAGCTTCCTCTTTTTTTCAGGCCATTCATCTTTCATTCTTTGCTTTTCACTCAAGTGTGTTTAATATCTCTGCGGGTAAAATAAGATGTTCTTTAGTGAGTCTAACATTTTGTTTCGCCATGATCATCAAGCTCCCTCTGAGTCACTAAGGATTTCTTCTCTACCACAAACTCCTTGTTGATTGAGAATCTCCTCTCCCCACTACCCTGTCCATGACCGAGGACAGGCAGCACCTTTAAGCTCAGACGTCCCCAGTTTGAGCTCCAGTATCTGCCGATATGAAACTGAAATTATTTTATTTTTAATAAAGGTTGCTTCCAGTTCCATCGCGTTCTGTGGTTACTACGGTAACACGACCGACTTCTCAGCTGGCCAATCGGCGGATTGCTCCGTGTGACCTATCCAATCGTAGCACAGTGGGCGGGGTTTGTCGGAAGACCGGTGGGATTAAAAATACCCGAGTGTGAAACCCCCTCAGTCCATGGCGGCGCTAGTTCTCTCAGTGTGGTTCTCCAGCCTCCAGAAAGACGGAGAAGTAAACGAGTCTGTATACAGTAGAACCAGCCGCTCACAGCGTCGTTGTTGTTGGACGGAGAGAAAGAGGAGCTGCGCTGCTGTAAGTGCGAAGCTGTTTGACGCTTGTTTGCTGTGTTACTGACTCAGAAAAACGGTTCGTCTTTTAAAACGCAGACTGTGAAACATTGAGCTAAGCTAACAGAGGAACAGCCCAGTTCACCCAGTACAGGTTATCATTAGCGTCACGACACACCCAGTAACGGATTCTTATCACTGTGGTAAATGATGTTCTCATCTGGCGGTGAACTGAAGAACTAAAGTGATCTTACAGTCAAGTCTGTGTAGATATTTCCTCTTCTTCTTCTGTTTCTGTGTCGACGTTCTTTCATTGTCATGTTGAAGTGTAACGTTAGAGGGAACTGTGTGTGTGTGTGTGTGTGTGTGTGTGTGTGTGTGTGTGTGTGTGTATGTGTATGACTTGCTTACAGGCATCAAATAATAGGTTCAAATGACTCCTATGACTTTTATTTTGTTTAGTAATGCTATTTAAAAGCATATGTTTCAGTATTTTTCAAACCAACCTTAGTGTAACGTCAGTGTTTTCGTGTCAAAATGTTCCTTCATTAATTAACACATCATTAATTATGATGTATGACGGTAGCTACATATTGTTTTATTATTTTTTTAAAATATTTTTAATTATAAATAACACGAGAGGCTGTAGTTTATGTATTGTTATAAAGTGAAACTTGTAGAGTGAGACTCGTCCAAGGCTTCGTTGTGTGTGTTGTGCAGGAATCTGCTACAAAATAGGAGTTTTTGTTTTGTTTTGTTTTAATTTTGTGTAGTCGGACTGGTCACTTTACATTCTTTTACATTTTTTGTTTTTTAGTCTGAAGCTTCTTGTACATTGTCTGCTTTAAATAGAGGACCAGAACAAATTCATACTTTTTCTGCATTTGACACTGAGTGTTTGATTGATTGTCATTCATTTTCTCCTCCAGAAATGAGTAACGTCCTAGTATCCACTTTCCTCTATTCAGATTTACCTCCAAAAACATCAAACGATGCCAGAGGAATCAGAGGAAGATGTCACACTGCTGAATTTGGAAGAGATTAAACAAGAGAATATAGAGGAGCTGTATTGTTGCTCAGAGTGTGGAAAGATTTTTGAACAAGAAAGTGACCTCAAATCACACCAGCGCACTCATGCAGGAGAGAACCAATACGCCTGTACAGAGTGTGGGAGAAGCTTCAGGCACTCTAAAACTTTAAAAAAGCACAAGTGCACCAGGATGGAGGATGGCTGTTCTATTACGGTGGTTCTTGAACCTGATGACAGTGAAGAAGCAGAAGATCCCATCCTGATCAGCAGGCCCCGCTTTTGCACTGCCACATTTGAAAGGTAAACATGTCCTGAATACTGACAGAAGCATTTAACGTGAGGTGTACACTTACCAGGCACACTTACTTAGATATCACAGCCACAAACTGAATTAGAACTTAAACATATCACAAACATAATTTTTTAAATGTTTTACTTCTCGTCAGTGTCATTTGGTCCTGTGTTTCAAGATAATTTAACTTTGAATACATGTTGGGTGAATTGATACAGTACATTACAGACAGAATGCTCTGTTAAACACTGCTGTTGAGCAGAGCTGGTCGAATGCCCTTGGTGCTGGCACATATGGCTTAATCCCAAAGCTCTATTTCTTATATTAGATGTCAGTTTGGCTGCACTGAACTGCACTTTTATTGAATTGATTTGATTTCCTTTATCCACTCGTCTATTTTCTCACAAACATGGGCCTTGCGGACTTCAGTGCTAAATTGTGACATCACTATGAATCGATGACTGTAGCTCATACCAAATTTTAACAATTATTTTAAAGTTATAAAAGTGGAGTAGAGGAATGTAATAGAAATAAAAACTAAGGCAGGGAAAATGCAGTGTAAAAGTTATAAGTGGGATGTGGGCTGGGATAACCCCCTCTGAGCTTGACACATTTAGAAAAAAAATGTTGGAACCCAACCAGACCCCATGTGACAGATCATAACAGAACCAGAATGCTCACTGTATGAGTCAAGCCTGTTCAAACATTCATAACACTGTTTACTAAACTCTTTAGTATAATTTACACACTAGACCCACCTATGAGAATGCTGCATATTTTGCACATTTTGCACATCTGTACTCCTCTGTAGTTTATTCTGTATTTGCTGTCTGTTTTTGTATTTATTGTTCATAGGTTTTGTCTGTTATCCACTAGTACATGTGCACTTAGACCGATCAGGCATAACATTATGACCACCTCCTTGTTTCTAAGCTCATTGTCCATTTTATCAGCTCCACTTACTATATAGGTGCACTTTGTAGTTCTACAGTTACAGACTGTAGTCCATCTGTTCCTCTGCATACTTTGTTAGCCCCCTTTTACCCTGTTCTTCAGTGGTCAGGACCCCCATGGACCCTCACAGAGTAGGTACAAAATGTTATGCCTGATCGGTGTATGTCCTTGTCTTAATGTTTGTGCAGCAGAGAAGTAGCCTGAACATGTTTCATTACACTGTATCCCTTTGTATGTATAATGACAAAGTTGAATTGAATTGAGATGAGATGAATTAAATTTCACATATTTCTCCCCCCCGCCAACCCCCCATCTCCTCCAGACATTCTCCTCCTGGTGTTGCGTCAAATTTTCCTCCTGAAACACATCAGGAGATGCTGCCAGAGGAACATGGAAGACTGCTGAAATCAGAAGAGATTAAACATGAGAATATGGAGGAGCCACATTGTTACTCTGAATGTGAAAAACATGTTAAACAAGAGAGTAATCCCGAATCGCATCACTGCACTCACGCAGAGGAGGAGCAGCATGAGTGCTCAGAGGGTGATACGGATATCAGTAATCAGAGTCATCTTCGACAACACAACCATGTTCACACAGAAGAAAGGCCGTTTAACTGCTCCAAGTGTGGACAGAGTTTTGATGACGAAAGTACTCTAAATAAACACAAGTGCTTTCATACAGCAAAGAAGCCATATTGCTGTTCATCCTGTGGAAAGAGTTTCACCAGATCCAGTAACCTGCAACAACACCAGCGCATTCACACAGGAGAGAAGCCCTATTGCTGTTCCCACTGTGGAAAGAATTTTACTAGATACAGTAACCTTCATCAACACATGCGCATTCACACAGGAGAGAAGCCTTTCTGCTGTTCATACTGTGACAGGAGTTTTACTACATACTGCAATCTCCAACAACACCAGCACACTCACACTGGAGAGAAGCCGTATCAGTGCTCGGAGTGTGGGAAGAATTTTTCTGACAGTGGTACTCTCACAAGACACAAACGCATCCACACAGGAGAGAAACCATATCAGTGCCCAGAATGTGGGAAGAGTTTTAACCAGAAGAGTACACTGCAACTACACTGTCGCATTCACACAGGAGAGAAACCGTATTACTGCACACAGTGTGGAAAGAGTTTTATTGACATATGCACTCTAAAAACACACCTGATCATTCACACAGGAGAGAAGCCCTACTGCTGTAAATGCTGTGGAAAGAGTTTTACCAGACACAGTAATCTCCAACAACACCAGCTCATTCACACAGGAGAGAAAACGCATTTCTGTTCATACTGTGGAAGGAGTTTTACTAGATATAGTTATCTCCAGGTACACCAGCGCATTCACACAGGAGACAAACCATATGTCTGTTCAGAGTGTGGAAATAGTTTTAATCGAAAGAGCGCTCTTGAACAACACCAGCGAGTTCACACTGGAGAGAAACCGTATGAGTGCTCAGAATGTGGGAAGAGTTTTTGTCAGCAGGGTACTCTCCAAGTACACCAGCGTATTCACACAGGAGCGAAACCGTATCAGTGCTCAGAATGTGGGAAGATCTTCAGGTATTCAAAAGCATTAAAGACACACAAATGTGCAGAGAGGGAGGAGGATAATTCTGAACCTGTGGTTTTTGAACCTGCTTTAGAGTGAAGACACGGAAGACCCTGCTTTAAGCAGTAGTCCACGCTTCTGTGCTCTCAGTGTTGAAGTAGGCTGATTTTATGTCTTTAGCCTGTAAATAGTGTTTAACTGCGTCTTGTAAACACATAGTATTCTATTAATTTTATTTTGAGGACATTCGGTGCTGTGAAAAAAGTATTTGCCTTTCACCAAATGTCTTCCATTTTTGCTAATTTGTCACCTTTAAATGTTTTCGATAACTAATTTTAATACAAGATAAAGACAACACAAGTAAATGCAAAGTGCAGCGTTTAAATGATCATTCATCATCATAAACCAAATGCGCTTGAGCTTTAGGTCAAGAACTGACAGGTGGACATTTCTCCTTCAGGATTTTCTGATCTAGAGAAGAATTCTTGGTTCCATCTATTATGACAAGTTATCCAGGTGCTGCGCAAGCAAAGCAACTCCAGCCCATCACACTACCACCACCATGTTTGACTGTTGGTATGATGTTCTTATGGTGGAATGCAGTGTTAGCTTTACAGTAGATGTAATGGGACCCATGCCTTCCAAAAAGTTCCAACTTTGACTCATCAGCCCACACAATATTATCCCAAAAGTCTTGGGGGTCATCTATATGTTTTTTGGCAAACGTGAGACTAGCCCTTGTGTTCTTTTTGGCCAACAGTTGTTTGTGCCTTACAGCTCTCCCATGGATGCTATTTTTGCTCAGTGTCTTTCTTATCATGGAGATGTGTATATTGACCTTAACTGAAGCAAGTGAGGCCTGCAGCTGTTTAGATGTTCATCTGGGTTCTTTTCTGACTTCCTGGATGAGTCATCGAAGCACTCTTGCAGAATTTTTGCTAGGCCAGCCACTCCTGGGAATGTTCACCTCTGTTCCAGGTTTTCTCCATTTGTGAATACTGGCTCTCACAGTGGTTTTCCAGAGCCATAGGCTTTGTAACCTTTTACAGACTGGTAGATGTGAATCTCTTTAGAACGTGGCATCATGTGCTGCTTTTTAAGACCTTCTAGCCGGCTTCACATTGCCAGACAGGTTCTATTAAGTAATGTTTAGATTCAACAGGTCTGACAGTAATAATGACTGGATAATTGCCCACCTAAACCTAATAACTGGTTGTGCCATCCTTGGCTAGTAAAACTGAACCCAGTAGTCGGATGAATTTGTTTAACTGTTAGATTTAGTAGCTAAGGGGCAATTACTTTTTCACATAGGGCCAGGTAGAGCTGAACAGCACTTTTCCTTCAGTAAATTATATGATCATTTAAAAACAGCATTTTGTGTTTACTTGGGTTATCTTAGTCTAATATTATAAGTTTGATGAGCTGAAACATTCAAGTGTGACAAATATACAAAAATATAGAAGAAAATTGTGAAAGGGCCAAATATTTTTCCACTGTACATTATATATACTGTTTAAGGACATTCTTTATTACCATATCAACTGCTCCATTATCAATTTGTGCACACATCGGGCCTGATTTTCATGATCAAAGTGCAAGCAAAAAATGTAGAATCAAGGCAGCGTTAGACTGACTACCTCAACAAACCTCACAGTTAGCGATGGTGCAGCACCAGGCAATCATATCAACTCCTTTCATTCCCTTCCATTCTCATCACCCAGCTGCCCTACGCCCACTCACGTTACTGGCCCACACAACAGCTGAAATGTACTTTTAAATAAATAATTAAAATCTTAAATAAATGCACCAAAAACACAAACAAAACAGAACATGATTAAGATTCCATAGCAAAAATCACGCCTTTATCCGCTGTCCAGTTTTGGCCAATGCGCAGATGTGTTGTTTGGACCAAAATCGGTTCGAAAATACCACTGCAACATCCCCTGTTGCACTGTGCCGCTCCACCCACGTTGTCGCAGTTGCTATCTTTGCTCGCCATCAAAATATCAAATAGGCGTGCATGACAAACAAGCTCCCATGTCCAACCAAATGAATAACGTCTGCGTTTTAGTGTTAGACGGCACTTGCAGGCATGACAATGGACCCCAAATTCTGCAAATCAGTATGAAAACAATATAAAAAAACAGATCATGACATTTGAGATGGATTACAGGAACTTCAGTTCAATAAATAGGTTAATTTGGAACGCCCTATCTGCAGTGACTGATGGGATTACTTTCCCGTCAACAAATAGTAATGATAAACCTCTGTCCACTAAATCCATATCCTCAAGCTAAACATTTTCACTCACTGTGCTTTGGAACCTCTCTTAAAATGTGTGTACCTTGTGTAGCCCACGTTGTTTTAAATTATTAGAGCTAATTTAGTCTGATATTGTTTGGAGGCTTGGAAATTGGTTTTCACAATTGCAAGTCAAAAGTGTTTATTCTATTTTACTAATACAAATGTGGTTTCTGTGATTATATTATTGCATATAGTTTCAGTTAAATAAATTGTGTTCCTATGATATTAAATGACCACATATGAAGAATGGTTTTATGAAATATGAGCTTCACTAGCTAAGATGGTTGACCACCTTGGGGTATATTAGACCATTTAAATGCTGTAGTAATGAAGTCTGCCATACTGTTTAATCCAAATCTTTACTTTAGGAAACGATTCAAATTCCAGTTCTTCCTAAAAACACTTTAAGGATGAATTTAAGGTATCCAATTTCTTCCTCCTCAGACTACAGTGGCATATTATGTTGCCCTCTGAAAATTGTGTATGTTAACATTACTTTTATATTATAAATATTGTTGTAATACTTGCCTTATTTTATTTTTTTTCTAATATTTGTACTTGTTTCCATTGATATCACATTAGTGGACGTGATGTAGTTGTGAAAGATACTGTCAATTCAGGCAGTAGGGCACTGTAAATGAATATCGCACCATATATAGTCACACATATGAAGATGATGCTATTGGTAATTAAATGTACACAAGTTACTAGACTGGATATCAGTCTCAAAGGAAACTTTTAAACTGCGGATCACTTTGTTTACTGTCACGGTGCTGTTAGCGAAGATATTCTCATTTGTACTACACAGACTTGAATATAGGTTATTCACACTACATATAATGTATAAAGCCCAGGATATTCAGCTGATTTTTCAAGACTAAGGCTATCAGCTTCCTTTTTTTTGGCCCCTCAGCTCATGTGTGAGATGTTGCCCTCAGTCTATAGATGGTTTCCTGTTTACAAACACTACTTGGTGTGTGTGTGCAGCCAGAGGGCAAAACTTCTTTGGTAACTTAGCTGGTCACGAGACTGTGACATTAGTCAACTTCTGTTATCAACATATATTTTGCATTGTTTGTAAATTCTTGTTAACTCCATAATAAAATGCCATTTCAGAGTTGAATCCGTTCGTCTCTTATTTGCATATTAACATAATGTAAAACGTTAGCTTGCATTGTGACGTGCCTAAGAACACCCTTCCCCGTGATAAAATCGCAGAAACATATGGCCTCTTGTGGCTTATTGCTTTAATATGTCCTTTATTCCAGCTTAATTCTGTTCTAGAATCTGCTATCTGGTAAGTGTCCACACCAAGTTTAAAGCAGATCTCTGGTGGAAATGCTTAGATCTTTGGTTGGAAAGGTAACCACCTCAATATTTAATGTAAGTATTAATTCATGCACTTACACCTGGGCCTATATGTTCGGTAAACCTCATAGTAAACCCCTCGTTCCAACCTCATTCTATACTACAGTACATGACTATTGTGATCTAAGTAGTGTAGCCAATATCCCAGTAAAAGATGAGGTTAAATACCTTGGTTTAGTAATAAAAAAAATTGCGCAACAGAAAAGTTCTAAATGTTACTCTCAGGTTTAAAGCTGTACAGAAATGATTAAATCGTTGACTCATGCGGGACTTATCTATACTGGGTAGAATTCTTTTGTCTAAAGCTGAAGGCTTATCGAGGCTCATGTACTCATGCCATTCCTTATACATTCCACCAAAAGTGATAAAGTCATCTACCTCCATATTATGTATATTTATTTGGAAGAACAAAACTCATTACCTACAAACATCACAATTAGTCTGGGATTATGGTGGCGGGGGATTAAGAGCCATGGATTTTGAATTATTATTATTATTGCAGCCTTTTTTTTTGAGAATCAAATGGCTAAAATAATGTATTTCCCAACCTCAATCTATGTGTTACCATATCCCAAACAAAGTATTTTATAAGGTTGGAGGGATTGGCTTTTTTGCTTAAATGTGTCCTTTTCACAAACAAGCTTTACATTATGGTAAAATGACATTTACCCACAATTTTTCACCACACAATTCTTTATTGTGGAACAACAGGGTTATTACCGTTAATAAAAAAAAAAACAATTTTTAAAGCTGACTGGTATGACAATGGAGTCACATATTTTCATGATGTATTGAATTTAGATGGTCACTTATTATCCTTTGAAGATTTTACCAGAAAGTTGAAAATTACTATTTCAAGAAAAGGGTATGACAAAATATGCAAAGCAATTTCTATCCCATTACTTTGACTGACACAAAGCAGTAGGCATTTTTCTATGATTGTACCTTCTCTGCCTACTCTAGAAGTTGGTGATGTTATTTTGTTGGACAAAAATGTGATAATAGAAAAATTTGCATGGTTTTTAAAGGGAAAGTTTAGGGGAACTTTAATTCACGCTTTGTAAGGGACAACACTGCAGTTGCTTTAAGGCGGAAGTCCTTTTTCCTTTTATATAACCTGTTCTATTGCCCCTAAAATTAAAGAAACCCATTTTAAAATAGTATCAGCAATGTACCCTGTTAGTGATTTTTTACATAAAAGATTTAAATCTAAAGTGGATCCTGGCATCTTTTGTTCTTTAGAGGCTGAAACTATTGACCATCTAATTTTTAAATGGTCATATTTTCACTTGTTTTGGTCCGATATTCATACTTACATACATTTTTAGATGCTAACATTTCGGATAATGTGAATCTTGTGATTATTTTGGGTAAATATTATACATACTTGTAAATGGAATGGCTGTATACCCTCCTTCGCCGAATTCTTACATACTTTTTTTTTGGGAAAAAAGAACAGAAAGGGTAAGAAACTGTATACATCTATATCAAGAAGGTTGCTTTTTTAATTTCTCTTAGTTTGCTCCATTGCGCTCTCTTTATTTTTACTTGACTGTTTTCCTTTTTAAAACCTCTTTTCTCTTGTTTTTTGTAGGCTGGTACCTCCTTGCTTGTTGTGTTCGGTTGTGTTGTAAGCATCATTTCCACCATTGCTGTTTAAGCTTTGTCAGTTGCGATGTGTATCTATCCTCTTTATATATATATATATATATATATATATATATATATATATATATATATATATATATATATATATATTATTTTTTTTTAAAGGGTTTTTGTTGATTTAACACACCTCAATGTATACTGTAAAAGAGAATCTGCAGGTCACGCTGCTTCTCAGTACGGAAGCCGATACGGACCACCATAAAATAGCGCTGGGAAAATGACAATACATGATAAGGAGAACGGAGAACGCAAGAATATGTACAAGCTTTGAGATGTTCTGTGTAGCTGGTGCTCCGTGCTGGCTGTCTAGCTAAATCATTTTAGAGAAAGACTTCGTCTGAAGGTTCCTGCAGCAAATCAAATCAGAAAGGTTTGACTGAAGAGCCGCAGATTTACTCCCGCAATGTCATCCCAGCGGTTTCAGGCCAGTGGAACGCATGCGCAGTAGGACAGCGCGAGTGTGCCATGTAAACAAAGTCCTTATAGGAAAGTTGAGCGTTACGAACGTTTACATTCGTATTTCATCCAGTGGTCTAGCTGTCTGCTCATCTATAACGTCTCTGATGTAAAAAGCGACTTTTTGCACTGTTTATATGTGTCGACATATTACCATTCAGGAAGGGATACCGTTGCCATACGAATCAACCATTGGTAACATTTTAAGCCATAAGCCAAGCACACAGCAAAACCATAAGAGGCCAAAAGAAACACTTCATTGTTGCTATGTGTTTTTTCAGCAGACATACCGTTCAATAACTAAAGTTTGTTTTAGCCGAGAGCTTAACATTATGCTCAGTTTAAGCCTGCTTGTTGTAAAGTTTTGCACATGTAATGTCAGTGTCCGCATAAGGCTTTATGTATTATGTATTAAAGTAAATTAATCTATATGTCTACATAGCCCATTAGCTTACCCAGGCCACATAAGCTTTATTTCGTGTAATATTTACCCTGTCAATCTTTATATGCGTTCAAACCAAAGTTTGTTTTAGCCTAAAGCTTAAAATACAACGTTAGCTCAACGTAGATTTATCAGAAATGTATTGGAAACCCATAGAAAACGACTGGAATATTGATTAGCCTAAAACTCACTAAGAAAGGTGTCCGCGCATGCGCTGAATGCCACTGGCTTTAAGCTGTGGCTCAGCGGCTCTGCAGACAGATATTATTGGAATCAAACGCCAAGTTCATCTGCGTTCTGTGGTCGCTACATTGATGTAAACGGCCTCTCAGTTGGCCAATCGGCGCCCAGCTTGTGTGAACCGCTATCCAATCGTAGCGCAGGGGGCGGGGTTTGTCTGAGTAACGCACGTGGTTCCAGTGTGAAGCCCCGAGTCCACGGCGGCGCTAGTTCTCTCAGTGTGGTTTTCCAACAGCCAGATAAAGCGGAGAAGCAGATCCCGGATATACAGCAGCAGCTCACGGTGTTGTTGTTGCTGGACGCAGAGAAACAGGATCTGCCCTGCTGTAAGTGTGAAGCTGTCATTTTTCAGACTGTTTAAATGATGTGTTTCGCTGGCTCTTTGAATCATGTTGGTGTTTTGAACAGTAACATGCAAAAACCAAGCTCAGAACACGTTCGCCCAGACTCGAGTACAGCTAACGTTAGCTTTTAATTACAGTTCTTGTTTCCGTACTTAATTAACGGTAACGGATAAGACGTGCTCGATGACAGTTTCCTCTTTGTTGTGACAGTTAATGTTGTTGTCTGGTAGTGAACTAAAGTGTTATTTTGTTTTTGGACATACTTTGGCAAGTTAGTCGTAAGGCTTCTTCTGTGTGCTGAGGTCGATTACTGACAACTTCACTGTCAAACTGTGCAGTTACAAAGAAAGTGATTGTCATGTATGAGTCACTTACATACACAGAGGGATTTATTTCAATCAATAAAACAGTGGTATACAGTATTGTATAAAAACAGAGGTGGGTGTTATGGCAAAAATGTCATATGATACTTCAAGATGTTTCCACGACACACAGTATGTTATAATATATATTTTTCTTACATCTGAAAAATTGGAAAAGACAAAAAGACAATGTAGTGCCACATTTATAAAATATTATCAAAAACTCTGAAAACAATTATTTATATTCAATATTTATTGTACTTTTATTCACTAAATCCAAACAAACATGACTAATTATGTTTTCTTTGTAATCAAACATACAGTTGGGAAGTGTTTTGTGTCTTAAGTACTGACAATATCCATGATATACTCAGCAAAGCTTATTTTGACATGATTCATCACAATAATGATAAATATTGTCATACTGCCCAGTCCTATATAAAACATTTTAAAGGCTACTTTTGCATTGTTTTGGTCTAGATCTGTGTGTCTACAGGTGAAAAGTTCAGTATAATTAGTCTTTTTGCTTCATGAAACATTAGTTATGAGATGTGGCTGGTGTATTTGGTCATGTAAAATTTTGTGCAAATTAACACATTTTAATTGGTGTAATTATGCTTAATCTTTGTGTGTGTTATTCAGAAATGTTCAGTTGTTTTTACACTTGACCACATTCCTGACTAAGCTGTAGTTCAGGGACTGTAAGTAACAATGTTGTCACTTTTTTTACATGTCACACTGAGTTTTGAACATTTTTTCTTTTCTCCTCCAGAGAGTTGTCCTTCTCCTGGTGTTGCCACAAACATATCTCCACAAACACATCAAGAGATGCCTCAAGAGGAGCCTGTAAGACTTCTGAAACCAGAAGAGATTAAACATGAGAATACGGAGGAAGCTTATTGTTACTCTGAGTGTGAGAAGAGTATCAAACAAGAGGATGATCTTGAATCACATCCGTGCACTCAAGCAGAGGAGAAGCAATATGACTGTTCAGAGTATGAGAGGGATATCGATAATAGGACTTCTCTCCAACAACACCAGCACACTCAAATAGGAGAGAAACTGTATCAGTGCTCAGAGTGTGGGAAGAGTTTTATTGACAAAACTACTTTAAATACACACCAGTGTCTTCATACAGGAGAGAAGCCCTATTGCTGTTCACAGTGTGGAAGGAGTTTTAGTAGATACGGTAATCTCCAGCAACACCTGCGCATTCACTCAGGAGAGAAACCCTATTGCTGTTCATACTGTGAAAGGAGTTTTTCCCGGTATAATACTCTCCAACTACACCAGCACACTCACACAGGAGAGAAGCCCTATCAGTGCTCAGATTGCGGGAAGAATTTTGCTGACAGGGGAACTCTCGTACGACACAAACGCATTCACACAGGAGAGAAACCGTATCAGTGCTCAGAGTGTGGGAAGAGTTTTAATCAAAAGATTAGTCTCCAACTACACCAGTACATTCATACAGGAGAGAAGCCCTACTGCTGTTCATACTGTGGTAGGAGTTTTAGTAGATACGGTAATCTCCAACATCACCTGCGCATTCACACAGGAGAGAAGCCTTATTGCTGTTCATACTGTGAAAGGAGCTTTACTAGATACAGTAACCTCCAGCAACACCAGCACACTCACACAGGAGAGAAGCCCTATCAGTGCTCAGAGTGTGGAAAGAGCTTTGCTGACAGGGGAACTCTCGTACGACACAAACGCATCCACACGGGAGAGAAACCGTATCAGTGCTTGCAATGTGGAAAGAGTTATAATCAAAGCAGTAGTCTCCATCTTCACCAGCGCATCCACTCAGGAGAGAAGCCGTTTTACTGCTCTGATTGTGGGAAGAGTTTTTTTGACAAATGCACTCTAAAAAAACACCAGATCATTCACACCGGAGAGAAGCCCTACTGCTGTACATGCTGTGGAAAAAGTTTTACCAGACATAGTAATCTCCAACAACACCAGCGCATTCACACAGGAGAGAAGCCCTATTGCTGTTCATACTGTGGAATGAGTTTCACCAGATACAGTAACCTTCGCCAACACCAGCGCATTCATACAGGAGACAAACCATACGTCTGCTCTGAGTGTGGCAAGAGTTTTAATCGGCGGAATGCTTTTCAGCGACACCAGCTTATTCACACAGGAGAGAAGCCGTATCAGTGCTCGGAATGTGGGAAGCCCTTTAGGTATTTAAAAGCATTAAAGACACACAAATGTGCAGAGAATGAGGAGGATAATTCTATAACTGTGGTTCTTGATCCTGATTTACATGCAGAAGATGCAGAAGATCCTGCTTTCATTAGTAATCCATGCCTCAGCACTTCTACAGTGTTGGAAGGAGAGAAAAAGGAGCTGGACTGTTTGATTTAGGGAACTGTTCAACACTTGTTCACATGGTTTATGTTATGTTTTCACTGATCAATAGAGAAATGGTGTCAGAGATGTTCGCTGTGCGCCTGCTAGTGCTGTTTTCCTAGTTTGGTAAACGTGATATGGTGTTTCGTAGACTATATTTTGAGTAGATGTACTCAAAAATGTTAAACTATAACATCCTTTATTTGCATGTCTGCTGTGCCATTTTCAATTTGTATACACATGAAGCAAGTCCTACAGACTATATGAAATCCATGTGCCAAATGAGCTTACACCAGATGGGATGTGTAAGTTAAAAAATATGTATATAATAAAAATGGAAAATAGCAGCTGGCTCTGGATATGACTGGTTCCTCATGGAAAATGTTTGCCTTCATCCCGTTCCACAGGACCTCTATTTAAATATTTTCACTCCCTATGGTTTGTAATCTCTCTACATAGTGTCTGTACCCTATGCAGCTCACTTTGCAGGGAACCAGTGTTGAGGTGCACATGAAAATTGGGTTTCACGATTGAAAATCAAAAGCATTTTGCCAATAACAATTTGAAGCCTGTGGCTGTATTATTGTATGTAACTTCAGATTTCAAGTTGATGTTAAAGAAATTTTCCTCCTATCTCCTGTGTTAATGTCCACGTTTGAAGTATGGTTTGATGAAGTCAGAGCTAAGCTGCTAGACCAGTATAGTGTATGTTTTTCAAATGTTATGGTTTTACGTCTTCTATAAGCTTAAAGTTGACCTGCATAGGGTATGTATATGATTTAGTTTGCTGATTTAGCTGGCCTAACAGGATAACCAGTTTAACGAAGCTAATCTATCAGTCTAGTCCAGCTGGACAATGACCTTGATCTTCTTAGACCAGCAAGAATATAGCTAATAGCCATCAAAGACCAGCTAATTGTAGCGCCTTCCCTGTTTTACTGCGCCCATTTCAACACAGTAAGAAGTTGTTATTTCAACCCGTTTAAACAATTCTGTTACGTCAGTTTGGAAACTGATGTAACAGAAGTAAACTGGTTCAAGTTTCCATGGTTTCCATCCAATACTAAACCCATGATTCATACATGAAGGCCACAGCTTGACTATGAAACAATATGTAAAAGGCTAGGGCAAAGTTATTTATGAATAAGGTTATACATGAGTAGATTTGCTATAGATACAAGCTGTAAACGGTCTTGAGCCCCTAAAGTGATGTAATTTTTGTCTTGTACCTCAATCCCAATGTCATGTTTATATAAGTAGTTTAGGTCAACAAACTAAAATTCCTTTCCAGGTTCCAACTAGCACCAGATGTATCCAGGCAGTTGGAATAAAATCCTGGGGAGGACTAATGATGTGCTTGTAAATCACTAGTAGTTAAAGATTTTGACTCCTATCTTAAAATACCTACAAGACAGTCTGTCTTCATTCCATTCCACAGGATCCGTAAGCAGTGCTTCTGGCTACGCCGGGAACCTTTGCTACTGTTCCTCTCCTACCTGAGAAGAACAAGGAGGATTCTAAGGCTGGACGGCAGCAGGAGAAATAGTTTGAGGAAGCAGAAATTGTGGAACCAGGACAGCTGAACCTTTTTACCATCAAATTTGATGTTGACATTCGATGAATGTGGTTAAAACTTTCTCTGTTACTAGACATGACTAAGCTGTGACTTTTTAACTGATGCAATTATTCATAACAATTACACACATCACTACAATTGAGCAAGTTAACCCACAGCAGCAAAAACACTAAAATAAAGAGATACACAAAGTAAATTGCAATAAAATAAAACACAAAAATAATAATTTATTAAAAAAAGTAAATAAGAGTCAATAGTCATTATACCATAATAGTAATATCATAATGATAACCAAACATTGAGGAACTTTGAGGATTCAGATTTAAAGATTTGAGAAAAGTATTGCTCATCTGATGATCATTTTAAGCGATGTAACCCAGCGCTCTATTTCTATTTTAATCTCTGATATTTTTAATGGAATTTGTAAAATTATTGTTTATGAATAAAATGTTTAAAATAAAATAATTACCAACATGCCCAACAGCAGTGTTAGAATTCATAGTCTCAATCACCATTAAAAAAGACACACAGCACAAGTCCTTATACTTTATTAAAGGGCTGAATTTGGCCACAACCACGCTGTACACAAAGAGAGTTTTGTCCAACAATTCACTCTAAGCCTCGCTGTGTCTTGCCTCCCATGCCATCAGCATTAGTACTTCCTAATCTAACAGAACACAGCCAGCGGGCTAACCCTGCCATCACAACATATGGAAAAGACAATACCTGCTGTAGAACTAATACTCTAAAATTAACATGCAGAACACTTCGCAAACACACTACAATGTGTTTCATAGTAAAACTCTGACTCTGATTGCTATTACTAATCCTCTTGTGGATGCACAGGAAAGCTTAGCCGTTTATGATGAACAGCCAATCACATGAAACACGAAGAGTTGAGCAGCTTTTTTCAAAGAAGGAAAAAATCTAATTAGAAAGCAAAGCATTTATAACAAAAGAAAGCAACACTGTTAGTGTTAATGTTGATTGAAATAATAATTGCTCTATATTCTTAATATCTATGGAGTATGATTTTCTTCCTCTGGTTGAAAGTCAGTCTTCATGTGATTGACGTCACAAATGTCACACAAAACAATAAATAAATAAATCAATGGAGGGGTCTGCCTCTGTCAATCCCTGGTTTGTCAGAAGCTCGCCCTGATTGGTCCAAGAGCTGTTTATGATCTGAAATCCTAAACTTAACCTGCTCTGGATCAGGCAGTCAGTCAATACAGGCTCCATTCAGTGTATCCCGGTAAAAGTGATCCAGGTTAAAGTTACCTGGCCAAGTCATAAATCCTGCTTTGTGAGAGGAACGAATACTCAGGTGGCTAATCAACTGGCTGATCTGAGCTACTATCCAATCGTAGCGCAGTGGGAGGGGTTTGCCGGAATACGGGCGGGATTAGAAATAACGGCCCTGGTTCCAGTGTGGAAGCCCTTCAGTCCGTTCAGTGGCGGCGCTGCATTTTTCAGTGTATTTCTCCCCCAAAGCGGAGAAGCAGAGGATGATGCAGGGCACAGTCGGATCACAGTGCTGCTGCTGTTGGATAGAGAGAAACAGGAGCTGCGCTGCTGTAAGTGTGGAGCTGTTCAGCACTTCTTCACATTGTTTATGTTTATACTGCGTTATTGACTCTCAGAGAAATGGTTGGAGATGTTCGTCTGTTAAAAAGCAGGATGGACACTAACAGCCTCGTCCAGACTTCATTGGCCTTGTTTGCGTTTCCCTGCTGTGTTGTTAAACTGAGAATTTACATGAACTTAACACACGAAACAGATGCAAATCGATATTAAAACTATGTACAAACGCCCGTTTGGAGGAGCACCACCAGAAACGCTTAATGGTTTCTATGGGCTTTTTCAGCAGGGTAGTTTGTAGTCCTTTCTCAGTGCACTCCTTTATTTCTTATCCTTAAATTTAATGTTGAGGCTGTACATTTTCTTACATATCCATATGTTTAGTTTGCATATGTACAATTCTGTATGAAGTATTTTTTCTCTCTCTTCTTCTGTAAATATTGTGTTACACCTGTAGATTATGTTACTAAACCTTAAGAGCATTTAAATACACGGACATCCTTTACATAGTTTGCATATGTACCAAAATAAATAAATAAATAAATAAATAAAATTCATAATTAAATTGTTAAGATGTAAACAAAGTCATCTAGTTGTGGTTTAGTGTGAAATGCTCTGTTTTAGAGAAACTTACAGAGTCAGAATTGTTTACAGTGGTGGTGGTAGAACCAGACGTCTAAACAGTTTAATGCATTTAAAAGCGAGACCACACAAATGTTATTACATAAAATGATACGATGTACAGCACACAAACACCTCACAAAGTGCATATTGTTCTGTAGTTTTAACTTCTCAATACAATCAAATTAAACACTGCATTCTGAAGAATGGCCTTGTTTATATTAGCATCATAATTGATATGTCAATAAGGCCTAATGAGTTCAGTAAGCTTTGAGACTGGAAGGACATCCAACCATTTGCATATGGCACAATTACTATTTTGTCTGTTTTGCTTAATCAAATGCAAAGTAACTGTGCATTAACATTTGCAGAAAGAAAAGATTGCTGAAGAGGTGATGATCACTTGTTTTCACTTATTAAATCAACAAAATATGCACTTTGGCCTGGGGGTGGTGTGGTCCAAACTTTTGCATACAACTGTGTGCACAGTATGTAGCTAACAAGCCATTTACTTACATGCTGCAAGGCAGTTGGGTTACAAATTGTTGGGACTGCTCCTCGTCTCAAACAGGTTGTAAGAAAAAGGTACTAGCTTCTCTTTGTAGAGTGAGTTATATACCTGTAGATTTATGTGTGGTTATTTCCAAAAAGATGTCATGTTCATAAGCATGGATGCAAGTAGAGGTTATGCAGTATATGCAATGCATGGTTGTGCCAAAGCCACGGTTTCAGAGAAGAGAGTTAAGTTAATAAACCTAAAATGCAACCCATAATGAAACCCAAGCACACTTTTGAATACTGATAAAGGAAATTAAATGATAAATGCTAAATTTCATTGCTTTCATTTTAGTTTAACGTTTTTGGATCAGTCACCCCGACATCATAAAATTTCAGTGCAGAAGAACAGGATGGATTCAAAAGTGACATCACACTGCATGTTAATTTTCAAACAAAAAAGAAATATTAGCCAATGGTGTAGTGCAAAAGCAAGGCACATACAACACTGTAAAACATATAGGTAAATAGGTTTATGCAGATGCATGTTTTAAAATGAAATTTTATATATTATATTAAAAAATCTATTACGTTTTGGTTATTATTTGGCCATAGTTGGCAGGTATCAGTACAAGCCTTTATCTAACCTTCACATGTTCAAGTGAATGAAAGTTTAACAATTCTGTATTAGTTATGTATTTTTTATTTGATCTGAGATCACCTGCAAATTGTGCACTTTATGTACAGTCCCCAAGTAGTTGTGTCATACTTTCGTTGGACTTTATATTGATTGTTGTTTTTTCCATTTCCAGAAATGAACAACATCCTAACATCCACTTTCCTGTACTCCACTTTACCTCCACAAACACATCAGGAGATGCCACCAGAAGAACACGTCAGGCTGCTGAAATCAGAAGAGATAAAACATGAGAATATGGAGGAGTCGCATGAGTGTGGGAAGAGTTTTAAACAAGAGAATCATCTCAAATCACACCAGTGCACTCATTCAGGAGAGAAGCCGTATCACTGTTCAGAGTGTGGGAGAAGCTTCAGGCACTCTAAAACTTTAAAAGCACACACTTGCTCCAGGATGGAGGATGGTTATTCTATAGATGTAGTTCTTGAACCCGATAATAGTGAAAAAGCAGAAGATCTCGCTCTGGTCAGCAGTCTAAGCACCTGTGCACCCTCATTTGAAAGGTATAAATGTATTGATTATTTACAGAGAGACTAATAATGCATTAGATACACACATTGTTTGCACATATAACAGCCATAAACCAAGGTCAAATTTAAAGATACCATGAATATCCTTTATCTATATAGAAAATCTTATCCAGGTTCACTGAAAATGGACCTGAATAATCCAACTGGAAAAGTTTGGTGAGATAAACTAACCAGTTCTATAATGGGGTATTCCAGTTTACTTTGTAAATATCACCAAACTGTGCTTCATTGTTGTAAGCCCAAGAATTTTCAGCTTTATTGCTGCTTTAATCTCTGACTATTTAGTCATGTTTAATTTTTGTTTGATCTTAAACCACCTGAATGGGGTGTAGCTGAGGTATAGCCCCAAAAACAATTTTGCTCTACTTTTGTTGTGTTTTGAATCCCTTAAATGGCCATTGGCTCACTGCCAGGCCCAGTTTTATTACACACTTCTACGCTGTTAGAAATAAAGGTTCTGTGCAGATACATTTTTTGTTCGTCAAGGTACAAACAATGTAAATGTGCCCTCAAAGGTACAACAGCGGCTTTAAGTCCAACTGTGAACGTTGAATAAGTTTTTCCTGGTGAAAAGTACATATTTGTACCTTTCCTTAACCTGATGTTTTAAAACACAACAATAAAATAAAAAGCCTGGAGACGAGACGGGCTTTGTGGAGTCAATACACCAAAAAAAATCTATTCAATTGATTATGGTACAATTATGTGCCCTGACTAGAGGTACTGAGATGTACCCTTGAGGGTCCCACCTCAGTGACATGAGGGGTACTGCCCCAGTGACAGTTTTGGGCCTTTGTTCTGAGAGTGATAACCTAAGAATAGCTCAGCCAGTTTGCATTGAAGTCCCTGTAGTTACTCAATAATAAGCCTTAGTATGTAATAATACTGGTATTTTAAGGGGTTAAACTCAGTTTTTCCATGATAATAAGTTATTTCCATTTGTTTTCTTGAGATCTTGAAATGTTAATGCCATTTTCATGACATAATGAATGTTATCTTGATAAAACAACATTTATGTTGTGTTCACAATCTTCAGGAAACATTGGTTTTGTCATGAATATGACAAATGTCATGAGATATTTATACAATAACTAGTTATCATGGAAAAACCAGAGTAAAAACATGTGAATTCATGGCCCTTTAGGGCTTCCGTATATTTCACATTGAATTTTGAAAATGTATTAATTTTCCTTTTGTCCTCCAGACGTTCTTGTTCTCCTGGTGTTAACTCAAATTTACCTCCACAAACACATCAGGAGTTGCCACCAGAAGAGCTGCTGAAACCAGAAGAGATTAAACAAGAGAATATGGAGGAGCCATATTGTTGTTCAGAATGTGGGAAGAGTTTTAAACAGGAGAATCATCTCAAATCACACCAGCGCACTCACGCTGTGGAGAAGTCATATCAATGCTCAGAGTGTGGGATGGGTTGTAATAATCAGAGTAGTCTTCTAAGGCACCAGAGGGTTCACACTGGAGAGAAGCCGTATCAGTGCTCAGAGTGCGGGAAGAGTTTTAGTAACGGTTATAATCTCAAAAAACACCAGGTCATTCACACAGGAGAGAAGCCTTACTGCTGTTCAGTCTGTGGGAAGGGTTTCAGTAGATATGCTACTCTCCAACTACACCAGCGCACTCACACAGGAGAGAAGCCGTATCACTGCACAGAGTGCGGGAAGAGTTTTCGTCAGCAGAGTAATCTCCAAGTACACCAGCGCATTCACACGGGAGAGAAACCATATCAGTGCTCAGAATGTGGGAAGAACTTCAATCGACTGGATGTTCTCCAACACCACCAGCGAGTTCACACAGGAGAGAAGCCTTTTAAGTGCTCAGAGTGTGGTCAGAGTTTTCGTCAGCAGAACAATCTCCAAGTACACCAGCGCATTCACACAGGAGAGAAGCCCTATTGCTGCCCATACTGTGAAAGGAGCTTCTCTAGACACAGTAACCTCAAAGAACACCAGCGCACTCACTCAGGAGAGAAGCCGTATGAGTGCTCAGAGTGTGGGAAGAGTTTTCGCCAGCACACTAATCTCCAAGTACACCAGCGCATTCACACAGGAGAGAAGCCGTATAGCTGCTTAGAGTGCGGGAAGGCTTTTAACCGACTCGACGTTCTCCAACAGCATCAGCGAGTTCACACAGGAGAGAAACCGTATGAGTGCTCAGAGTGTGGAAAGAGTTTTTGTCAACAGGGCACCCTCCAAGTACACCAGCGTATTCACACTGGAGAGAAACCGTATTACTGCTCACAATGTGGGAAGATGTTTAGGTACTCAAAAAATGTTGCGGTACACAAGTGCACTAAGAGTGAGGAAGATAATTCTGCAACTGTGGTTTGTGAACCTGATTACAGTGAATAAGCAGAAGATCCCACTATGATCAGGAATCCACACCTTCATGCTCCCACAGTGTTGGAGGGAGAAAAACAGGAGTTAGACTGTTGAATGTAGGGAACTGTTCAACACTCTATTGACAATTTGCAAGGCTGTGCCATAGATGTCCGCTTTTTAAAACATAGGATGTAAAAGCCAACACTGAAGCAGCCTTTGTCCAGAGATGTCTAAGTAGCCTGTTAGCCCTTGTGGCTGTGTTGTTGTTTGATAGTAGTGTTTTCATAATTGTGTTTGGTAAACATAGTATTTTGTGAATTTAATTTTAGGATTTACATGATACAGACTCAAAGTAAAGTTACATCTACTTCTTCATTATCAGTTTGTGCACACATGAAGCAAATCAATACTAAAACAATGTGGAAAGAGAGATTATGCCATATGGGAAGTGCAAGTTGAAACAATATTAAAAGATATGGATATAAATTAAAGTTCTGCCTCCCTTCATTGCACCTGTCATGTCCACCTGGTAGCATGTGCAGGTCTGTTCTGAGGAGACTATTGTCAGTGTCTTTTTTCGCTTCACTTTTTTCAAGAAGTACTGCTCAGAGACCGTGTCTGGCTCTGTCAGTTGGGTTTCACAGCTGCAAATCAGAACTGTTGCCTAGATTTTAGTTGTAAATAGTTCTTATTTTTTATTTTATTTATTTATTTACTTTTTACCTTATGCAGTCTAACTTTTTAAGTTTCAGTTACATCATATATCCTGCTTTGTTAGTAAACCACCATGTATGAAGTAGAGCTTTCATGAATTAAGAGCTTGATGTACATAGGGTATGTTTCTGTTTGAGCTTAATTGTTTAGCTGGCCTACAAACATGACTGGGGTCATAGCCTGACTAGTCAACCACCTTGACTGTCCTAGACCAGCAAGAATCTAGCTAATCACTAGGGCCCTGTTTTTCCCACCTTGGAAAAGGTGCAGTGTTTTCCATACCCAGTGCTGGAGTGGCCCAGAACTGCAGTATTGTTTACTTCTCTCTGATTCAGGTGGTTAATACACTGAAATGTTAGGCCTTGCACACAGGATAATAAACTGCGCGGTCTGAGGGTGGGCCAGCTGTGGCATACAAAGAGCAGGCTGCTGACCTTATTGAGCCAGTAGACCGACATATGCTTACTACCTGGGGTATCAAGATTATATTGACATCCTTTTTTTCACACAAGCCCAGATTTAGGTTCTTTAGCCAGAGTATATCAGCGTGGCAGAGTATCACAAATACACTCGACAACGCAAAATACCACTACATAATGTGGCAATTTGTATGTATGTACATTATAAGAGACTATCTGGGGACATCTTGAAGAGATATATATATATTTTTTAGTTTTTTACTACTTCCACAAAGTCATTCAACTGTGAGGAGGTCAGAACATCTGTATTTTTCACAATGTCATGAAAAAGTATTTGCCCCTTTCATTTTCTGTTATCGCATATTTGTTTCTCACAGTGAATGCTTTTAGATCTTAAAGTATTGCATTAAACAAAGATACCCTTTTCATGAATAAAAATCATGTATTAAAAAAGTAATTTCCCTCACATTTCAGCAACAAATTAATGGAACTGAATTGATAATGCGATTCAGCTGTTTGAACCAGGTTTAAATGGGGCCAACTCTCCTGCTGAATGTTTGCCTCACTCATATTGAGGTTTACCATCAGAGGGATGTAGTCAGTAGTGTTTTTACAAGCTCGCTAGGCCATGACCAGAAGAAAATTCAAAAGAGGTGAGAACAGCAGGTGAAATATATCAGTTTGGAAAGGGTTATGAAACAGTGTCAAAGCTTCTCAGAATGACAGTGAAATCCATTATTTCAGCAGCAAATAGAGCACAGTGGCAAATCATCCAAGCAGCACTAGAGGATCCGGGAGAACATACAAGGAAGCGTGGGTCTTTCTAGCCTCAGCTCAGGTCAGTGCTCATGACAGTAAGAAAAGAACTGGGCGAAAGTGGCATTCATGGAAGAGCAACCAGGCAGAAAACACTGCTAACCAAAATAAATGTTGATGCTTGTCTCACATTTGCAAAAAAGTGCCTGGGCAATCTCAAAGCCTCTTTTGGGTGATGTTCTATGAACAGACCGGCCTGAAGTCTAACTTTATGGACAATAGACGTCTCTTCATATCTGCTATAAAGCATGTCCTGCATTTCACAATAGGAACATCATACCAGCATTCAAGCGTGTTTGTGGTAGAGGGAAGGTGTGGGGGTGTACTGCTCACAGTGTTTAAAAAGCACCAGTGGGAGGGTAGCTCACTTCTGTGGTTGATACACAAAAATCTGCACATTTACACATGAATTGTGTATTGCTTACACTAGAAATCAAATCAAATAAATCATGAAATCTATCAAATAAAAAAAATATCTAAAATATGACTTTTTAATATTTAGTCATGTATTTACTATTTCTCCCATCTCATTTATGTCATCACATGTCTTTCATTATGATGCTATAAAAAATACATTTGGGTTCTGAGAGGATGTTTTTTGATTGTCATACAAAGATATTAAAATGACGTGTTCTGGATCTGTCTTTGGTTTGTGGGTAGTATTTGATTGATGCAGATGTCTTTCACACATTTTCTACATGTTTTTAACTGACTGTGTTTTTTTTTTTTTTCAAACAGCTATTGTTACAGCCTAGACTAGTTGGGAAAGATTGGCAGAATGAAGCTGAGTGAAGCTGCTGTAACCGTAAGACTAGGACTTATTTTAAACACCTATCAATTGTCACTATGTTACAATTAGTAATTCTGCACATTAAGCTTACCAGCTGATGCACCTTTTTTCACAAAGTTCTCACCTGTCTGAAATCTTTTAGAATTAGGGTTCTCAATCCTGGGGACTCCAAGCTATGTGTGTTTCCTGCTTTCTCTCATTTAGCGCATCTGATTCAACCGATCAATTGATAATGAAACTCCTCACATGCTGGATCGGCTGAGTTAAAGTAGAAAAAAAAACAAAATTGTGCAGAGCATAGAGTCCCCAGAACTGACTGTGGGAACAGAACAAATTGGTTGGGTTATTTCTGCTCCTATGTCATTTTCACTGCATCCCATGGTTGCTATGGTGATATGAATATCTTCTTAAGTAGGAATTCCATTGATTAAAGACACATATGTGCAATTCAGTAGTTGAGATGTGAACAAAGCAATTCTATGTGGTTTGATGTGAAGGTTCAGTGCAAAGAAACTTAGCAACTCTGTGGTGATAAGAATCAGGGGTCACAGTGTCCACAACACATACATAGTCATTTTATTTACTATCCAAAGCCACCAGGTACATGTGTCTTTTAAATTGATTAAATATTAATATAGCAGTAAATTTGGTCAAATTTGTGGGGAGGTGTGTGTGTGTGGGGGGTATTTTGTCTCTCAATGCTTTGCATAAACCTTTCTGCCATGAAGGGCGTTTTTTAAGATGTGTTGTAAACCAAATTCTTCTCAAAACTATTCTAAAACAGTGACATCATGCAGCAGATTTGTGACCTCTTTCGTGCATTAACTTTCTTCTGAAGGAGCTTTTATAAGCGTCTTGGTTGCTATCACCAACACAGTGAACAAGTCTGACCCTGTAAGTTTCTCTATAAGCATTTCAAACCACTCTGAATAACTTTGTTTACATCTTAATTGTAATTATTAAGACATTTTGCAAGAATTTTAAAAAGTTTGGTGGCATTCCCCTTTAAGTCGCCAATTAGCGGACTGCTCTTATCAGCTACTAGCCAATCATAGAGCAGGAGACGGATAAGAATTCAGAAATCAAAACAACACGCTGTCTGTCAGGCTGTGGGCTCATGAGGTTCCAGTGTCCCAGCAGGGGGCGCTAGTTCAGTCGCTGTGGTTCTCTAACAGCAGTGAAGCGGAGAAGCAGCACAGTTGGCTGAGGCCGCTGCTAAAACTGCAGAGAGAAAGAGGAGCTGCGCTATTGTAAGTAGCAGTTGTTCTTCCTCCTCACACTGTTTACAGGGAGATTTAGTCGATCCTTTAATAAATAACTGAGAGAAATTCTCTTTTTAAAGAAGAATGATAAACATGTCAGCCAGTTCAGGGCTTCAGTGGTCCTGCTGTGGGGGCTGCTCTCCTCGCGGTTTTGGCGAACATAGAGCTTTTACTTCATCTCCTATTTAGGATTTACACGAGCTGTACTCGAATAATCCGTGAATTATTCATGTTTACTGTGCTAATTAATGCTGTTATTTAGAGAATGTTTAAATGCTGTGTTGTGGTCTCCTGTGTGGCTCTGTTCAGTTTCACTGTGTCATTCAGTGACCCCGTCTTACTGGACACACACACGAATTAAGAGTTCACACGGCTATACAGCCTTTTAGCTTGAAACAAAATGAAATGTAACGTTTTATTAGCGAAATTTCATTTTTAGCATACAAGACTTAAGTTGCCACTAAGAATGTATGATTTCCTCCAATTCTAGTCAAATCCAAATCGTTAACTTACATGTAATAATAAAAAGGTTTTACATGTAAAAACAATTTTTGCATCTAATAATAAAATCAACGGTTCTATTTAGAACCATGAGTTCTATTTAAAACCATTTCATGCTTAAATGGTTCTTTGCATGGTGAAATGGTTCTTCAGATTGATGGCAAATACTTTGTATATGGTGCCATACAGAGCCTTTTTGAAAATGATTCTGTAAAGCACCAAATAGGTTTCTGCTATTAAAATTTTGACATTGTAACAATAGAAGAACCCTTTATATACAACACGTTCTCCATCAATCTGAAGAGCTATTTCACCATTTAAGCCTGAAATGATTCCATATAGAACTCATGGTTGTAAATAGAACCACTGTCTTGACTAAAGAACCCTTGAAGAACAATGTGTTTAGTTATAATGGTTAATTTTACTAAAATGTACTAAAAGTTTACATATTTATTTTTGTTATTTGTACCATTAACATACTTACTTGTTCAGTTTGTCTTTTTGATATATAAAATGTGGGTTAAAAGCTAAAATAGCTTTTCTTGAGCTTTTCATTGTAGAGGTGGGAATAAGCATCTGTAAATGGTGGATTCAGGTTACCAGAAAACAGTTCAAATACAACTGACTGAATACAGAATGACTGAAAATGAAACAAGCAGCTGGGTAACACATCTGGAAATGAAATGAACAAGTGAACATGTGAAAGGAAAACTGGGAAACACTGTATTTCTTTTCTTTCTCAACCTGTATTTCCCAGTTACCAAATCTATCTCCCAGTTGTCATTTCCATATTTAAATGTATTTTCCAGTTGCCTTTTCCATTTTTATTGGATTTCCCTTTACAGTAAATCAGTACACAGTGGAGGTGAATTCAGGTACTGGCTCAGCCCTATGTACCAGACACTCTGGGACAGTGATGACTCTATTAAATGTGATGCAGGTGCTGAGATAGCATGTAACAGTGCAGTGTCAGCAGTGTTGAATGAACAGCTTTGCCCTGCCTGGTATCCTGCTGGTGTGTATAGGGAGTGCTATGTGCACACTGAGCAAACAGCCTCCCTGGCTGTGCAGCAGCACTCAGCTAGCTTGAGAGCTAAACCCCCATTATTACCTTTGCATTACGGTTACATCTATCTCTCTATCATCTAACTCTATGTAATTACCGGCTGTCTGTGCTACATAAGTCCACATTTGAGGCGCTGGCTAGTACTGAACCTCATTATAATTGCATTAAATGTTTTTAAATGCTACAGAATTCAGACATGGAGCACTGACCTGCACTACCTTTATAAATCTGTATGCTTATTTACTGTAGTAAAGTAATTGACTTTGACTGACTGGCAACATTATTTATAGTCCTTTCTTTTACATTCTGCCACATTTGTAATTACAAAAGTATTTTTCTAAAATATTAAACACAACATGCAGGTAGCAGATTTAGTATATTTTAGTGACAAACAGTACAAACAAAAATAGCCACTGTAAAAGGCAAGAATCTGATATAACAGACATTAAAAACTCACATTATTATTACATTATTATTACCTAGTTTTTCATCTGAATCGATGTAGGCTTTAGTCTTCCAGTGTTATTCCCAACAAGTCAATGGAAATGGAAAAGATGAAAAAAAAATACGTTATTTCCCAATTTTCCGCCCGGTTCCCTTTACTATTTACCATATGTTTCCCCCCAGTTTTGTTTTTCATTACTGAACGTGTTGCCCAATTGCCTTTTCCATTTTCAGTTGTACTTTCAACTGAAGTGTGGCACCCTAGATCTTCCATACCTATAGATACATCAGCACTCCAAAACTCAGTGGATTACATTTAACTGAGAGTAGCTGGGATAAACTGCAGTGTTGGGAAAATACAGTGCTGGAAGAGCCCAGAACAGGATTGTTGTTAGGATTTGAAAAGTTAGATTATTTGGTTGACCAACAAAATCCTTAGTAGGACTGTACAGAATCTATGTTCCATTCCAAATTCCATTTTAAAATTTCTCCTTTTTTTTTTTTTTCGTCAGTGGTAATTTTATAATGTTTTGAATTTGACTTGTGAGTCCATTAGATCAGGTCCAAAGTATTAACTTGATGAAATGATGTGGTAACTTTGGCTGCCAATTACTTTAAACTGCAGGAGTAACATGAGTTCATCTTTGGTTTGTTCATAGACTTTACATCAAAAACTGTTGGTTTTTTTTGGGGTGGGGGGTTGGGGGGGGTGGAGAGGGGTCTACTTATTACTATTGATCATTTTATAATAAGTTAAATTAGACTCATGGGTCATTTAGATTTGGTACAAATTACAAACCTGATGAAATGATTTGGAATTTCGACTGATAATTACTTTAAAATGCTGCAGTAAAATTACTTCATCTTTGGTTTATGCATAGTATAAAAAACTTAGAACCAAAATCTGTTGTTTGCTTGGTCTGCTTATTAGTGATTATTTTTGTTTGTTTTATTTGAAATTACCAGCAATTTTTCTATTAAGTACAGCCCCCAGTTTAGTCATACACTGAATTTATTTTCTTTTTCTCCAAAAATCTTTATTCTAGTGTCCATGAGGTGATGCCACCAGAGGAACTTGTCAGACTGCTGCAATCGGAAGAGACTGCAGAGAAGCCATACAGTTGCCCAGAATGTGGGAAGTGTTTTAAACAGGAGAATCATCTGAAATCACACCAGCGCACTCATGCTGTGGAGAAGTCGTTCCAGTGCTCAGAGTGTGGGAGGACGTTTAATCGACATAGCAATCTCCAAGTGCACCAGCGCATTCACACAGGAGAGAAGCCGTTTCAGTGCACAGAGTGTGAAAAGAGTTTTATTGATAGAGGAACACTGACAAAACATCAACGCATTCATACAGGAGAGAGGCCGTTTGACTGCTCGCTGTGTGGGAAGTGTTTCAGAGACAACGATACTCTCAAAAAACACCACATTACTCATACAGGAGAGAAGTCCTATTACTGTTCGTGCTGCGGAAGGAGTTTTAGTCGATACAGCAATCTCCAACTACACCAGCGCACTCACACCGGAGAGAAGCCCTATGTCTGCTCAGACTGTGGAAAGTGTTTTAATCAGCAAACTAATTTACAAATCCACCAGCGCATTCACACTGGAGAGAAGCCGTATCTGTGCTCAGAGTGTGGGAAGAGATTTAGTGACAGCAGTCATCTAAAAAAACATCAGATCGTTCACACTGGAGAGAAGCCGTATCAGTGCTTACAGTGTGGGAAGAGTTTTACTCAGCAGAGTAACCTCCATACACACCAGCGGGTTCACACTGGAGAGAACCCATATTACTGCTCAGAGTGTGGGAAGTTCTTCAGGTATTCAAAAAGTTTAAAGATACACAAGTGCATGAAGTGGGAGAACGATGATTCTGTGACTATGGTGGTCATACCTGATTACGGTGAAGAAACAGAAGATCCTGCTCTGATCAGCAGTCCAGAGCTTCCTGCTCCCACAGTGTTGGATGGAGAGAAACAGGAGCTTTACTATTTAGCGTAGGGACACTTGGTAACATGGTTTCAGTTGTGTATTCACTGACCATTAGAGAAATGGCTGGACAGATAGCTACTTTTCGAAAAGTGCGTCCTTGCATGCATCCTTTGACCAGGCTTGGCTGAGTAGGCTAACTTGTGGCAGTGTTTTCTTGTTGGGTTTGTAGAGCGTAGGGCATGTTGTTGATGCTTTATTTAAGATTTGCATGATATGTACACACCATTAATAAGTTAGTATGAGAATTTCAAGAAGGTCATGCCATATTGGTTGATAAAAAATGATGGTACGGTCATATGTTCCCATGGGTGAAGATGCCTCCAGGGAGAAGTGCACTCCTACCCCCACTCTTTTTTCTGTCCTGATCAAATAACATCTCATGTGGATATTTGAGTTTGTCAAGATCATTTGATCTCATTTTTTTTTACATGAATTTCAATTATAGTGATCTGTGTGTTTATACCAAGGTGTACACTAAAAGAAAGAAAGAAGGAATGAAGATTAGAGTATGTGCTCTAATCTAATAGAGTGATCATTAGCCTTACTAAGGAGTTTGGCTGGAATATGTAAAGAGTTTATGAACTGTCATGATGAAGATGAGTTCATATGTAGCTAATTTCTCATGTGCACTAATCATTTGCACTTTTCAATCTATGGCACTTAGTGATTAAATGTAACTTTATTATTATTATTATTATTATTATTATTATTATTATCATTAACCACAACAGTGGTTTTAAGGTCCAACTGTGTAAATAATAAATATGTTTTTTTCCAGGTGAAAAGTACATATTTGTACCTTTTCCTAATCTAATGTTTTAAAACATAACAACAAAGTAAAAACGACGGGGTGTGTGGAGTCAGTACAACTTCAAAAATATATTTTCAGTGGATTATGGTACAATTATGTTCCCTGTCTAAAGGTACTGAGATGTAGCCTTGAGGGTACCACCCCAATGACAAGAGAGGTACTGCCCCAGTGACAGTTTAACACCTTTATTTCTGAGAGGGCAGTGAAAACAAAATTGGCTGCTGGTCCAGTTTATTTCCTCTAACTATGTGGGCTTATGCTTCATTATCTGGTACATGTCAAACTTAACATCAGCAGAAAGCTCTGGATTGGATTTCAGAGGGATAAAAGGAATTAATTCGAACCAATCCTGTAACAAATCTAACCTGAAATAGCACACACTCACGCCGTGTGGTGTAATGTTGTTAGCTGTGTATTTCTTCCTGTGGGGTGGTAGAGTGTTTGAATAGTTTGAGCATGATAGCTTACTATTAAGTGAAGTGCTTCAATAACAGTAGCTCATTATAAAGCATAGTAGTCTTTAAAGAAAAATATAAAAATATTGACTTAGTATCGGTCTCAGATACTCCAGCTTTGGTACCGGTATTGGAAAAGAAAAAGGAGTGCAATATCATCTCTAGTAATTGGACATTGGGCCTCATTCACCAGCTGTTCTTAAGAAGAAATTTATTCTTAAAACCCACTTATGCAGTTTTCACGAAGATTCTGACATTCACCAGTGTTTTCTTATGTGGGGTTTGTTCTTAGGTAAGAACAGAATCTCCACACTCAAGAGCACAGAGGTGTGAACAAAATTAAGAAAAAACTTAGGAAGATGTTAGTGAATAAGGCCCACTGTTTCTAAGGGGAACGTCTTCCCCTGCTTTTTCTTCCTTATTTTCTGTTCATTTTATTGATTTTTCTCTCAGTTCTGATAATGCTGAATTGTGATTTTTCTATTAAATTATGCAATGTTTTGATTTGAATTCTGACTCTGGGTCTTTTTACTTTTTGGGTTATTGTCAAAGATGTGTGTTTTCATTTGTGCTATTGTAATTAAATGTACATTAGCGTTAACATGAAATCATGAAATTATGAATGAAAGACTAATTAATAAAGGTGTAGGAACAAAGTGTATTTTCACACCTGGAAACAGGAATGAGCTTCTTTTCCTTTACAGATAATGGAGCAGTTTAGAACAGGGAAATCATCAGGAAAATGGACAATTGCTCCCTCAGATGGGGTTTGAAATGTTCTGTGGGGATAAAGGGGAAAAGACATTGAACTAAAGTTAAATGCACTAGAACTGGAGAGAGTAAAATCAGTCATTTCTCAGGCAGGATTTTCATTTACCCATTATAGAAAAACCCATGTCATTTTTTTTTAACTCCTGTCCTTTGGGGGGCTCCGTACAATAGTACTATGTACAGGACAGGAATACAGGGCAATGAATTCTGTCTGCAGGAAGAAACAGTGGAACACGTAATGCTACACTGCCCTAGAGACCCCCGACACAGCACAGACAGAAACTTTGTCAAAACAACATCCCTTCTGAAAGAAAGACTAATTAGAGGTATTAGGACTAAAACCTAATGGTTTTGCTTTCTAATAGGAATTGCCTTCATTCTTACTATCAGAGACCACTAGTTTCCTGCTGGACACCTTTAGATCTCACTAGAAAACCATCAAATGCATCTGGAATCAGTTCCACTAAACCATTAGAATCCTTTACACTGCGATATCAACTCATCAGCAAAACACAAAATACCATTACTGATTACTGGACACCACCAAAATCAGCAGAAACTTTAATGGTTTGTGTCCACACTCCTTACCTGAAGGTGGCGGCAATGCACCAAACTTTTTGTTTGCCAACTCAGACTGTTGTGCAGGCTGGAGGAAGAGAAACAGGAGCTGCACTGTGGTCTGTAGGGAGCTGTTCAACGTTTCTCCACATTATAACAGTTTTTGTTTGATGCTTAAATAACTGAATGGAGAAAGATTCACCTTCTGACAAGCAGAATGCCAAACCTGTAATCCGACACAGAGGAAGTCTTCATCCAGCTGAGTAAGTAAGCTGTTCTCAGACAAACAGCACACAAAACAAACTGTAAATGCGATGGTGTTTCTGTGGCGTTTATATCGCCTCATTTTCTACTCGACGCTCCGTCAAATAGAGCTACAAACGAGACGGCCTAATACTTAATTACTACGTCGTAACGACATGTTGGAGTCGTAATAAATACATTGTATAGATGAGTTTGTATCCGTCTGTCACAGCAGCTGAGCTCTGATACAATGAGTCCTGTGTCTCAGTGGAGGCTGCAGGTGAGGAAGAACAGACCCTATTGGAGGGGGGCTAATTCTGTACTGGGGGCATGGTCCTAATGGAGAATTTTTTAATGGCTCCAAGTGTCTGTTGACCATAAACTTTTAAAGTAGCAACTGCAAGAAAATGTATCAAAAGATGGCTGTTTGTTCAAATCGGCACTCAGTAGATCTGTCTCTTTGTAGCTTGTATTAAGCCCAGAGCCACTGACTTTAATGCTATATCCACCCACTTACAGCAGACACAGACCAAGCACAGGTCCAGCAGCGCTCTCTCTCTTAGATGAGCTGCAGGAAGTTAAATATATTATTCAAATACACAGATTATAGATCAGTTCACTCTCAGTTGGTGCCATCAGAAAGTGCTTTGCTCTGCAGGCATGTTTACTGATCCATGAGGCGCAATTTCATGGTCATAGTGACATTTTCTCAGTTAAGTTCAGTTAAACTATGTATTCAGTTTGGTTGAAAGCTTATACAACTCTCTCTTTTCTCTTGATCACTAACCTCCATCAGATCTGCTGCTTCAGTCCTGTCAGTCTCCTTCAGCTTCTTTCTCTCCCTCTCCTCGCCTGTGTTTATTAATACATTATTATACTCAGATTTATAAAAACTCAAGAAATAATGAGAGATCAATCAATTCATTTTTTAACTAGTAAAAATCTTGAGAGCTGTCGCCCCTTAATTTCCATCTACAGGTTGAGAAATTGAGAGATATGAAGCCACATTATGATCAACACTATATGACCTTTTCACTGACATGAACTTACTGTAAACAACAATATACAGCAAATACTGTGCCATTGTTTCCAAATACAGAAGAGAAATATAGAAACAAAGAATATATATGGATTTTATTAACTCTGTCACTCTCTCTCTCTCTCTTTCTCTCTCTCTCTCTCTCTCTCTCTCTCACACACTCTATGAAGTTTCTTCAAATTCTTAAATAAATTCCCCTTTTTTGCCTCATATAAACCCAAAGTTAGTTAAGGTCTGATATAATTGGGTTACAACTTAGGAGGTTTGCATGTTACATTACTCTCTGGTAGCGCAGCAGAGGCAGTGCCTCCTTCAGGTCACAGCCTGCTATCACAATTTATTGTCAGGTTGGAGACAATTGCATGGTTAAATAAAGAAGAATGAATGAGAATAAACTATAGTTGATAGCTGATTTGAACTAGTAATGTACACTTATTTGGGGGGGGGGGGTAAGTTGCTAAAGCTAATGGCTAAAGCAGGAAGTAAACAAAACATGGAAGATGTGAAACAGTTGTTGCAGTTTATTAGCTTGCTGGGATCAAATGGGCTTGGAAATGTGATGTTAGGATGCAGTGTCTTATGGATAGTCCACCATAGTGGCAGGGTTAGTCTGCCTAGGCTAGTAATATATAGTTAAAGGAATAATGAGTTGCACTAGGCAGCCTTCTAATTGTTTTGACAAAGTTTTGACAATGTATGAGAAGATTTCATTCCTTTTTATCTCTGAAACGTTTCTATACTTCACCCTTCATTTACTAAAAGGTAGCACAGAAACAGTAATGCACTGAATGTTCACAGAGAATAACGTAGCTCTTATTATTACGCATTGCCATGAACACATCAGGCCTGTGTTCACTAGGCATGATCTTCACTGGCTTCCCATAAAAAAGTATTGAATTTAAGATATTAATACTCACATTTAAAGCACTTTATAGTTTAACTCCCTCATACCTTATTGACCTTCATGATTACTCCCCATCTAGACGTTACACTCCTCCTCTGCTAGATACTCCACATATCTGCCTCTCATCTATGGAAAGATCTGTCTCACTTTAAGAAGCAACTACAAATGAACTGCAGCACCATGACATTCGTCTGATTTTTTGGTTTGTATACAATGTGCAAAAGTCTTCTAACACTTAGCAAAATTACATATTTTGTGAAAAGTACACAACCTTTGCAGCAAACTATTAAAAATATTACTTTTTGATTAACAATTCCAGAAGGTAATAATTCTCTTCAACTCGTGTGCTAACACTCAATAATCATGGGCTTCTCTAAGCAGCTGACTGTGGATCTGAAAATGAAGCCAAGTGCTAGCTCAAAGCACTACTATCTTGCAGTTTTCACTGTCTAAAATGTCATTAAGAAATGGCAGTTAAGGGGAACTGTGGGAGTCAAGGCAAAATCCTGAAAGACCATGAAGCAAAACCCCCATATGAAGCAAAGCACCTGCAGGAAGGTTTAGCTGATACAAGAGTCCAACTGTGTGATGTTGCCTGTGCAAACATGATCGGCAAGGAAAGGTTTTTAGACGGAACTTCGTCTGTGACCTCATCACGAAAGTCAGCTTCTAAGGTATACAAAACATCGAGATAAGCCAGAGGCTTTTTGGAAACAAGTGCTGTTGACTGATGAAAAAAATGGAACTCTTTAGCCACAATCATCTTAGGTATGTTTGGGGTAAAAATAAGCAGCATTTGATTAAAAGAAAATCTGCAAGCTGTTAAGTATGGGTGTGGTTCTGTTGTGCTTTGGAGTTGTATGGCAGCCTTACCTGCAACCTCATCACAAAGATCGATGTCTGAAGTATGCAAAACAACATCTAGATAAGCCAGAGGGATTTTGGAAACAAGTGCTGTGGACTGATGAAGCAGAAACAGAACTCTGGCCACAATCACCCAGTGCGTTTAGAGAAAAAGGAGGTTTTGAATAAAAGAACACATCGCCATCTGTTAATGGGGGTGGATCTATTACTTTTGCAGAAAAATGTCTTTTTAAATAGTTTCCTGCAGAGTTTGCATTCATGCCCTTTCACTTCAGAAATCGACAAAGCAAATTATGTGGCTGGGTGCCCAAACTTTTCAACACAAATGAATGTATCTCTTGTCCGCTTGTAAACCCATCCAACAGGCAGGGGGGGATACTTACAACAGTAATAAAAGTGCAGTTGGACAGAGATGGCAGACCTATACTAACTCATTACTGAGGTAAAAGTGCATTTACTCATCTAAAATATTTTGGTAAAAGCCAGTAAAGTGCGTAATTAGTAAAATGCATAGTTTCAGATTCATTACTAAACCAGTTAGGCCTGTCATAATCGTTTACATGACGATAATTTGCCATATAATTAATAGCAATTGACAAAATTTCCCATCACTATTGATTGAAATTATGCACAAGGCTTCCTTTCTTGTTGGATGCAGTGTTTTTCCGAGCTAGCACATAAGTTCAGTCAGTGTAGATTTCGGATCTGTCAGCATTCATTAGTTTAATCAGAGCAATGAGAAAGTGCAACTGATGTGACTTCAATTTCTATTCAAGAGTTTGTTCAAAAAAGGTAGTTTGTGACACAAATCAAATAAAAATCTCAGAACTTTAAGCTCTGTTGGATCCTATTCTTTACGTATCAATAGCATTATACAGAAGTGAGTAGATATAACAGCAGAAATAACAACTGTTTTGTGTCAGCCTTAAAAGGTTCCCTGCTTGAAGGTGAAGAGAGTTGGAAAGAGTGACACTACTAGCAGTAATGCATCTGTACTCATGATTCAGTGCTGAGTAGTAAAATAGTCCAAGGTGAGTTATAAGTTAGGCAATAAATACTGATTCAGATATAGTTTTTTTTTTGTTCTCCCTGCTAACTAATAATTGGTATCAATAAAAATTGCTTTGAAAATGAGCTAAAATGTTTTTCAGATGGCTTTCTACTAAGCTTTAGAAACATCATAAATGCATATTTTTCAAATATTCTCTTGCTCCCATAAAATGTGGTTGCTGAGATGGCAGCCATTTTGAAAAGACAGAGCGAATGATACACCCCAACTGATGATATACCATTGGAAAGGCCAGGCTGTCCTCTACATGGTGCACCAGCACTGTAGCTTATATGGCTTTTGAAATATGCTTTGGGGACTCATGTCCCCCACAGAGGACAAAACGAATTACCAGGTCTCACAAGGATATCAGTTGATGCCTACTCTAATTGTGAAAAGTTAAATTATTTTTATTAGGCTTGTGCTTTTCCTCCATATGTAATGAAATTTTTTGCTTCTTATGTTTTCATGTGTGAGGGCAGTCATGGGCTGGAGGTTAGGGAACCAGCCTTGTGACCGGAAGGTTGTGGGTTCGATCCCCTGAGCCAACAGGACATGACTGAAGTGCCCTTGAGCAAGGTACCTAACCCCCAACTGCTTCCCAGACGCTATGGATAGGGCTACCCACCAATCTGGGCAAGTGTCCTCACTGCTCCCTAGTGTGGGTGTTTCACTGCACGGATGGGTAAAATGCGGAGGTTTAATTCCTCTGTGTGCAAGCACCGTTGGTTAGTGGTTCTAAATTCTAATTCTAATGTTAAATGTTGATTAAAAGTGGCTGCTTTTTATGTAAGGGTGTAAGTCTTTCATTGAAGTTTGTTATTGAAAGTCATATACGATTTAAACAGTGTGTGTTAATGTAAAACTATATCACTAGTGTACGCCTCTTAGTAATTTTCCTGGAGGCCCCTTTCAGTAATCAAAACATCTGGGCACATACTATCAGAGTAAAGTTGGTGTGGAGGGCTTATGCAATAGACTCACTCATGCTTAAATGACTGGGGTTTTTCTCTAAAGAGCTTATAAATTCTAGAGGTTGTGATTTCGGGGGGTTATGTTGTTGGAGGGCAGCAAGGCACATTTTGAAAAGGTTCTATTGGAGACCTTTTATTTATCTTAGCCAAAAAAGTCTATGTAGTATGTCATTAGAGCTTATACCATTGTTGCACTTTATGTTGAGTTTTGAATATTTCTTTTCCTTTAAAAATGTTCCTTCTCATGCCCATCAGGAGATGCCACCGGAGGAACATGACGGACTGCTGAAATCAGAAGAGATTAAACATGACAGTATGGAGGAACCATGTTGTTGCCCAGAATGTGGGAAGAGTTTTAAACAGGTGAATCATCTCAAATCACACCAGCGCACTCATGCAGTGGAGAAAGTGTTTCAGTGCTCAGAGTGTGGGAGGAGTTTTACTCGACAGAGCGGCCTCCAACGACACCAGCGTGTTCACACAGGAGAGAAGCCGTTTCAGTGCACAGAGTGTGAAAAGAGTTTTATCGACAGAGGCACTCTAAAAAAACACCAGCGCATTCATACAGGAGAGAAGCCGTTTCAGTGCACGGAGTGTGGAAAGCGTTTTAGTGACAGTGGTAACCTCAAAAAGCACCAAGTCATCCACACAGGAGAGAAGGCCTATTGCTGTTCATACTGCGGAAGGAGTTTTGGTAGATACAACCATCTCCAACAACACCTGCACACTCACACAACAGAGAAGGCGTACGCCTGCTCAGACTGTGGAAAGAGTTTTAGTCAACAGAATAACCTAGAAAGACATCAGCGCATTCACACAGGAGAGAAACCGTATCCGTGCTCAGAATGTGGAAAGAGATTTAATTATCAGAGAAGTCTGCAACTCCACCAGCGCATTCACACAGGAGACAAGCCCTATTACTGCTTAGAGTGTGGGATGACTTTCAGTCGGCTGGGTATTCTTCAACAGCACCAGCGGATTCACACCGGAGAGAGGCCGTATCACTGCTCAGAGTGTGGAAAGAGTTTTAATAACCTGAGTAATTTCCGAATACATGAGCGCATTCACAAAGGAGAGAGGCCGTATCTCTGCTCAGAGTGTGGGAAGAGTTTCACTCAGCAGTACAATTTCCAACAACACCAGCGAGTTCATACAGGAGAGAGGCCGTATCATTGCTCCGAGTGTGGCAAGAGCTTTAGACAATCTAATACTTTAAAGACACACAAGTGCACTAAGAGGGAGGAGAGTAATTCTATCACTGTGGTTCTCGAACCTGATGACAGTGAAGAAGCAGAAGAAGCCTACTCTGACCAACTAGGGCTGGGCGATATGGCAAAAATATAATATCACAATATTTATATTGATATTTTCACAATATGTCATTTTTTTTCTGAAGTTTGTTAAGTTGGAACAGACATAAAGCACCAATAGTGCCACATTTAATAACTATACACAAAACTTCAAAAGTGTACCAAAAAACTACTTTATTATTATTTTTATTCAGTGTTTCACATATTGGATATAGTGCAGTGAAAATAAACAGGATTAATTATGCTGTTTTTTTTTATTGCAGTTGTTTAGTGTTCTTCAAATAGTGACAATATCCATAATATACTTTGAAAGCATACTGTCATAATTTACATCACAGTCATATTAAATATCATCATATTGCTTCCCCTATGAAGCAGTACACGCTTTCCCATGCCTTGACCTGGCCCTAGAGGCACAAACGGAGTGTTACGAGCAAAACTGGCAAGATTGCTCCGCGAGCAACCAAAGAAACCTACAAATTATGATAACCATTCTGTTATCTTAGCGTAATGTAATGTCAGTGTATTATGATCCTTTTATTAATAACAGGCATAAAAAAGTAGTATGCTAAAGTCTTGGTAGCTAGCTTGCTAAATTTCCCGTTTCACCTTAAAAGGCCATTTAAGGTGGAATGGGAAAATTCGAACAAGAAGCTGGAGTGTAGCTGACTTCGGCTTCATATCACTGAAGAATTAATGCCCTTTGAAGGTATATGATTCCCTAAATTTAACTGAAGCCCAGAAGCGAGGTTGCTGAACTTTACCCTCCTTTGCTATCACTGCAGACCGGCAGGGTCGCCTACCACTAGTAGCCTGTTAAGGAAGTAATGTTCTTTTTTATTTGAAGTTTGTCCCTTTTCGTAGGGGAAGATTTCAACCACTACCCCCTATAACTCAGTTCCAAGGGGCAAGGTGACACAAGGGATGGGGGTAAAAATAAGATTGGGCCATAGCGTTGGACTGTCCAGCTGTAGATGTAAGCTGACAGCAGCGATTTGTTTCTCCTTCATCTTGTCCAGTTTTGTAGTCACAGTGACAAACATCCTGCTGCCTCCTTTTGCTGACAAGCCAAAAGTTAAACTCTAGGCTTTTTCAAAGGACAATGTCATGCAATTTTCTCAAACGATCCATGTTTGTATCTGTTGTTTGTGAACACATTGTTCTTAATGAGATGGAGAGATGTTCACTTGTTCAGAGTACGAAACAAAATACAAAAGCCAACAAAGAAGCAGCTTTCATTCTGCCTTGGGTCCATATTGGATGTGCATATTTTGGATACGCCTCTATTTCAATGAGAAAATGTAGATGTAATCTAAAGTGCAAATACATAAAATATGTCCTGACTGCATCCTTTAAACAACCAGTGAACCTACATGAGTTTTGAGACTATATTGCCTCATAGTACCTTGCATTTATCCCTCCAAGGATTAAAATAAATGGATTAATAAGACATTTTAGACCAAAACGTTACCACAAAACTATCGTAAAACAAATCTCAGACATCAGGCAGTGTTCAGAACCATATTGTGTAATAATTTTCTGCGAGGGAGCTTTCTGAGGTGGACATCTGGTTCCTATCACCGCCGCTGTGAACAATTCTGACTCTGTAAGTTTTTCCAGAATGGAGCATTTCACACTAAACCACTCCAAATGACTTTGTTTACTTTTTAACCATTTAATTATTTTGAAATAATGATGTTCACCTTAAACATTGTTTCATCAGCTTGGTGCTGCTTAAACAGGTAATTTCAGTGTCTGAGATGAAACAAAGTGGTCTTCTGTGGTGCATTCTAGAGAAACTTGCTGGGGCTCTTGCTTAGTCATTATTTTAGCAGCAGTTTAATCTCAGTTTAACAGGCTCAGTTAAACTGCTTACTTCAGGGGTTTAATGTGCAGCTGTGCTTTAAGTTAAACTTAATTGTTCTGTTAAAACAAGCAGGTGTCTACTTGATCTGTTGGGTAAACTGGAATTACTATCAGACTTTGTCATGATGACCCCAACTAAAACAAAACACTGAATAACAGTGACATTTTTCGCTATTTAAAAGTGCTTTGTTGTGCCTTTAAAATGGCCAGTTGTTTAATTAAAGTATATTATAGGTTAGCCAGTTACTTAATTATTATTATTATTATTATTATTATTATTACTTATTTAGTTATTAAAAGCATACTGTAAACAGTACAAAAAAGGTAATGTACTTCTTTACTCTGTATGACACAATTCAAATATATTGTTTCATTCCAAATGTATTCCAAACGGAACAAAACAAAAAAATTGAATTTCTGGACATTTTTATATGCATTTACATGCACTATACGTGCATTCATTTTCTGTATGGGATGGTAAAGAAATGTTTTATTTGGCACAGTTTTGATACACCAGTCTGCCATTACATTAAAACCACCTCCTTGTTTCTACGCTCATTGTCCATTTTGTCAGCTCCACTTACTATATAGGTGCACTTTGTAGTTCTACAATTACAGACTGTAGTCCATCTGTTTCTCTGCATACTTTGTTGCCCTGTTCTTCAATGGTCAGGACCACAACAAAGCAGGTATTGGGTGGTAGATCATTCTCAGGACTGCAGTAACACTGACGTGGTGGTGGTGTGTTAGTGTGTGTTGGGCTGGTACGAGTGGATCAGACACAGCAGTGCTGCTGGAGTTTTTAAACACTGTGTCCACTCACTGTCCACTCTATTAGACACTCCTACCTCGTCAGTCCACCTTGTAGATGTAAACTCAGAGATGACAGCTCATCTACCGCTGCACAGCCTGTGTTGGTCATCCTCTAGTCCTTCATCAGTGGTCACAGGACGCTGCCCACAGGACGCTGTTGGCTGGATATTTTTGGTTGGTGGGCTATTCTCAGTCCAGCAGTGACAGTGAGGTGTTTAAAAACTTAGCAGCACTGCTGTGTCTGATCCACTCGTACCAGCGCAACACACACTAACACACCACCACCACATCAGTGTCACTGCAGTGCTGAGAATGACCCACCACCCAAACAATACCTGCTTTGTTGTGGTCCTGTGGGGGCCTGTCCACTGAAGAACAAGGTAAAAGGGGGCTAACAAAGTATGCAGAGAAACAGATGGACTACAGTCTGTAATTGTAGAACTACAAAGCGCTCCTATATGGTAAGTGGACCAGATGACTGAACAAACAGGGAGGTGGCTTTAATGACATGGCTGGCCATTGCATACCTACATATTGATTCCGTATGGGGTCATCCTGCGTTCTACAAACGCAGCCGAACACGGCCTGACGTGGTTGTGACGGTCACCGACACTGAGCTGTCCGGTTTGTTTCAGCAGCGAATCAGATCCAGTACCACTCAGTTCTGTGTTTGCTGACCCATCCCCTCTCACTGGACTACTCATCACCGTCCTAGTGAGGGAGGCGGAGCATGACGGAATTCCGGTGGGATAAAAACACACCAAGCTGTAGATTCCGGTGGTTCCAGTGTGAGTCCCGCTGCCCAGCAGGGGGCGCTAGTTCAGTCGCTGTGGTCCTCTAACAGCAGTGAAGCGGAGAAGCAGCACAGTTGGCTGAGGCCGCTGCTAAAACTGCAGAGAGAGAAAGAGGAGCTGCGCTATTGTAAGTAGCAGCTGTTCTTCCTCCTCACACTGTTTACAGGGAGATTTAGTCGATCCTTTAATAAATAACTGAGAGAAATTCTCTTTTTAAAGCAGAATGATAAACATGTCAGCAGCCTTCGACCCGCTGAGTGAGCTGCTCTCAGATAGCACACAAGCCTCGCCATGACGTTTAAACCAAATACTGTACAAATGGAGGAATCGTCTCCGGTTTAACTGTCTAAACACGATACAGAGTTTCAGTAGCGCCGATGTTTCATTATAATCAGCCCTCCGTTAAATCGTTACTACGTCGTAACGACGTACTGAAATCCATATAAGTGACGTAAACAGATGAGTTTGTGTTTGTCTCCCACAGCTGCCCAGCACTGACAGGTCACTTCAGCATCAGCCCATTGTGTGAAGTAGCCTGCAGGACATTGTGGACTAAGGTTTATATCAGACAGTTCGATCTGTGTTTGATTTAATGTAGTTCTTTATTGCATGTATTGTATTTCATATAAGCAGCCTGAGTTTAGATAACCTTTAATGCTTAGCAAATGAAAACTGTTTTATATGCAGTTTCTTATTAATACAATGTGATTAAACTAGAGAATACAATAACAAAGCCTGTTTAAGCCCTTAACTGTATTAATTATATAAGCTATTAACGGTAATAATTACTAAACAACATTGCTTCTCATTCTTTATGTCCATGAATAACTGCAGCCCTTCTTCTTGATACATGCTCTGAAGCATATCAACATATGTTCTTCTCATCCACCTCTTTGTCCCACTTCGTTACTGCTGCTGTAGAATTGTAATTAAATCAGTTAAGAAAAGGGGGCTGGCGATTCCCCATGCTGGTGCTGGAGGACCCCTGCCCTGGACATATCCCCTGCTCTAACACAGCTGAGGGAACCTATCATCTAATTAAGCCCCTCTTGAGATGAGGTGGATGTGTTGGAGCAGGAAAATGTACATGACCGAGGTTGAAAACCACTTGAGCATCACATGAGTGATTCAGATTTGTTTCTGTGCATCTAGCATTACAGTTGAACTGTATCCCTTTCACTATCATATAGCATCATACTGTAATACTGAGGAAGTGTTCAGCTTAGCACAGGGGCTCCCAGTCCCAGGCCTGGTGACCACAGTGGACTGGGACACACATTTTGTGCTTTGTCTCAGTTAGCACACCTGACTTAACTCATTAACTAATTATCAAGCACCTCGCGGTCTAGGTCAGGTGTGTAGAGTAGGGAAAACACAAAAATGTACAAACTTTGGGGTTGCCAGGACTGGGATTAGGAACCCCTGGCTTAGCATGATGAGAAATACAGAAAAAGCAGTCTTCATATCCTTGACTGTATAGTATAGCTTTATTTATGAATAGCAAGTAATACAGAATAGTTTGGCAGTGAAATATCCTTTACTGTGTTGTACACAGTTGTGCTACAGAGTCCTGTTTTTCCATGATCAGCTGGATCACTGGGTGGATGCTTGGGGTTCTTATGAATTTACTGTTTTTGTTTATATATAGTTATATTGATAAATAACAAAACAGTGTATTTTCTGGAGAAAATGGTAGAGATAAAATATAACGCACCAGGTCACTGCTGGAACACAATTCTGTGGTTTAAAAAATGAAGGCCACTTGGGGGTTTAGCAGTAATGCTTTACTGTCTGTTTAGAAGTTTATGAATGCAGATCTTGGGAGTTATATTCTCTTATTCTTTCTAACTGACACCTCTGTGAAGTATGAGAAAACAATAGTACTGTACATTTCTCATCATGAAGTGTGAAGAACATATTTAAATACCTGAAAATCTTGAGTCTTACAAAGACTCTTTAAACAAGTAGGCCTTTCTCTGTTTATCACTACCAACCTATCAATCTTCTTCTTCTTCTTCTTCTTATTATTATTATTATTATTATTATCTTCTGGAAGCACAGACCATACAAAGGAAAAATACTAAAGAAAAAAATGACCTATAATGTATTATTGACCAGTGTTATCTTCAAGGTTGTCAAAAATGCAGAGACTACTATTACTCAGTGCCCTCAAATGCACATTTGCAGTGGTGGACCTGACCTATTTGGTGCCCTTGGCTAAATTTAACTTGCTGCCCGAAACCACCCTCCCACCCAGCCCCTGCTGTAGGGGTGTAACAAAGTAAACAACAACAGGATTATAGTAATCATTTTTCTTCTTTCAGATATTGTTAAAAATATGGTAAGAATATCATGCATGTAGCATCAAGAATCAAACAGAACTATGGGCTGAGTGTATCATTACACTCCAACTCCACTGTCCTCAGATTGTGATCTGTATTAATGGTCTAGATAATAATCATAAGATTATTACAAACTTGTTCCTGCACTCATTTTTAGTATTAGTACTAAACTCCTACAATGTATCCATTTTACTTAATAGTTTATATGCAAAGATTCATGGTAGATATTAGTTTATTTTGTGTTGTGTTCAAACCCCCCGATCATGAGACAGAAGTGTTGTCATCCGTCTTCAGCCATTAGACTCCAGTGTAAACAAATAGCATAAGGGTGCACTGCTAAAGTTAGCATTTCTCTTTTACTCAGATTTTATGCATATGGTGGTGTATTTTTTATAGTTTTTTTATAGTTTTCCTACAATTAGATTTTAAAACAAATCACAATGAATCACCTTGCTTAGTATCACAATGTATTGCAATATATTGAATCATGATCTCTGTATCATGATAAGTATAGTATTGCCAGGTTCTTGCCAATACACAGCCCTAATATTAATAAACTTGTGTTTATTATTTATGTTTGTTTCCCATCTAAAGTGCACAATAAACAAATCACTGTTTTTTTATATATTACTGGAAAATTACATTGCTTGCATGTATGGCTGGTCAGTAATGTGCAGGCATGTATCACTGAAATAAGCTGAAATTTGTAAACCTTTCAGATGAATCTTTTAACTCTTACAATGAATAATAAGATGAAACAAATGTAAGATTCACTATTGCAGAACTTAACAGTCACATCAAAGTTTTCTGTACATGTAATGCAAAAAATACACTTTTATAGGAAAATTACTTGGCATGTATGGCCGGTGTTCACAGATTTTTTACCGAAAAGACGAGCATACCCACTTTAAGGGGCTTAAGGCATGAACATTGACAATTTACAAATTTGCCTCCTCTACAAAAGAGTCCTTCTAAGGTGAACTTATGGCTGGTGCACAAGTCTTCTTGAAAAGTCATCTTTTTGCTAACAGTGCCGAGCTGCTTGTTAGTAGATTCTTTGGGATACAGGCACATGCGAAATTGTCTGAAATTGATTGGTCATCTACAGGCAGTTCACACACTTGTTTTTACTGGGTGGATTTTGGAATCAGGTGGTAAAACATTTGTAGAGAAAATGTTAGTGTTGAGGTGGAGATATTAGAGTTAGTCAGCAATTGGAGTAGTCAGAAAAGAGCTGAGAAGGTATGTAAATGTTAGTAAAGGACACAGAGATTCTGGGATCAGTTCCTGTGTCTCCTTGGTAATCCTGCTGTGCAGACCGTACAGGCTGAAATAAGATCTAGCAGAAGCTGGAACAGTTCAGAAAATGAGTGAGAAACAGAAAAACAGAGATAAGAAGGTTTTCAGAACATTAAAGAATGTAGGTACAGTCTTGTGAGCAGAAAATGATGATTTCATTTCACAATTGAAGTCGTTTTTTTCTTTATTTTAATGCACATTTTCTGTTAGTCACTCAAACCACTTTTTAGTTGTATTTTTGTTGCATTCAAGTTGAGTTTTCAATATTTCTTTCTTTTTTTCCTTTTAGATGCAACCAGAGGGACGTGACAGACTGCTGAAATCAGAAGAGATTAAACATGAGAATTTGGTGGAACCATATAGCTGCCCAGACTGTGGGAAGAGTTTCAGACAGGAGAATCATCTGAAATCACACCAGCGCACCCACGCTGTGGAGAAGGTGTTCCAGTGCTCAGAATGTGGCAGAACGTTTAATCGACATAGTGGTCTCCAACGACACCAACGCATTCACACAGGAGAGAAGCCGTTTCAGTGCACAGAGTGTGAAAAAGGTTTTATTGACAAAGACACTCTAAAAAAACACCAGCGCATTCATACAGGAGAGAGGCCATTTCAGTGCACGGAGTGTGGAAAGAGTTTTAGAGACAGCGATACTCTCAAAAAACACCAGCGTACGCACACAGGAGAAAAGCCCTACTGCTGTACATGCTGTGGAAGGAGTTTTAGTAGATACAGTGGTCTCCAATTACACCAGCGCACTCACACCGGAGAGAAGCCCTATGTCTGCTCAGACTGTGGAAAGAGTTTTAATCAACAGACTAATCTCCAAGTACACCAGCGCATTCACACCGGAGAGAAGCCGTATCGCTGCTCAGAGTGCGGGAAGAGATTTAGTGACGGCAGTCATTTCAGAAAACACCTGATTCTTCATTCAGGAGAGAAACCGTACGCCTGCCCAGAGTGCGGGAAGGGTTTTAATCAACATGGTAGTCTCCAACAACACCAGCGCACCCACACAGGAGAGAAGCCCTATCACTGTACAGAGTGTGATAGGAGTTTTAATCGACCGGGTGTTCTCCGACAACACCAGCGCATTCACACGGGAGAGAAACCGTATCAGTGCTCAGAGTGTGGGAAGAGTTTTAATCACCGGAGTAACTTCCAGCTCCACCAGCGCATTCACACAGGGCAGAAGCCGTATTACTGCTTAGAGTGTGGGTTGACCTTCAGTCGGCTGGGTGTTCTCCAACAACACCAGCGTGTGCACACCGGAGAGAGGCCGTATCTTTGCTCGGAGTGCGGGAAGAGTTTTAATCACCCGAGCAATTTCCGACTCCACAAGCGCATTCACACCGGAGAGAAGCCGTATCTCTGCTCAGAGTGTGGGATGACTTTTACTCAGCTGTATAATTTCCAACAACACCAGCGAGTTCACACAGGAGAGAGGCCGTATTACTGCTCTGAGTGCGGGAAGAGCTTTAAGTATTCAAAAAGTTTAAAGATGCACAAGTGCATGAAGAGTGAGGAGGACAATTCTGTAACTGTTGTTCTTGAACCTGATTACAGTGAAGAAGCAGAAGATCTGGCTGAGAGTAGCAGTCCACATCTTCACGCTCCCACAGAGGAGGGAGAAACACAGGAGCTGGACTGTTGAACATAGGGAACTCAAAGGAATGGTAGTAGGTATACACAGAAGCATCTTTTGTCCAGACCTGGTTAAGCAGGCTAACTTCAACTCTCACACCAGTGTTTTCTTAGTTGGACACATGAACATTTTGTTGAGGCTTTATGTAGGATTTACATGATATATAATATTCAAATGTTGCATGATATAGAGAAATATTGTATTTGCATGCTTGTTTGTTTTTTTTTCCCTGCATTATTCTGTGTCCTCACTATCATGTTTTGCACATGTGAAGCAGACCTTATATAATTGATATAAAAATTTTAAAAAGAGATCATGCCATATTGATTTTGCAGCCATAAACATTGTGAAAATATGGACGTAATCTAAAAGGTCTATAAAATGTGGAAAGTATATGTGCAGATGTGGTAGGAAATAGCAACTGGTTCTACACTAAGATGTTCTGCCGTGTAAAGATTTTTTTTTACTCAAGGGTCTTCAGTACCTTTAGTTAGGGAACATAATTGTACCATATTCCATATATCACACATAGGTTTTAAGTTGTATTCCACACACCTGGTCTTAATTTTTGCTCTGTTATAAAATGTAAACATATACACAGAAAAGGTACCAATATGCATGTCTCCATAGTCACCATTTACTCTGTGCTACCACTCTCATGTAAAATCGCTTATTTTTTCCTCGTCTTGCTTAGCCTATTTAATATAGTCCATTTTGCTTTGCATTGCAGATTGAATAGAAGAAAGTTTTAAGTTGTTATTTTTTTAATTTCAGCATTTAATGCCAGAACCTTGCAAGGGAAGGTGCCAATGAAAATTTAAAATTTCATTTTTAAATACAGATCTGTAAAATGTATTGTGAATCATTATTCACAAGCCTTTATAATACTGAAATACATTTGTTATTGTTTTTTATTTAAGCCATCTCATCATTTTTTTTATAACCGTAAAAAAGGTTCCTCATGCAATATGTGTACATAAACAAGCACTTATGTATTACAGCAGACAATATCTTACTTAATGTCTCAATTCTTGTGCTGTGTTAATCATGTAATAATCAGCTCTGTTCATATGTTTTGCATAATGTTGTTGTAACACGCCTGCATGACAGGACATTTTTATAAGGACTGGATGTTTCTGTAATGTGTGATTTTCTTTCTTCCTGCAAAAAAGTGTGCATGTTGTGAAATACTGATCAGATGATAAGACATCAACACTACTCAAGCAAGTGGTAAGTTTGTGTGGTACTAGTCTAAGTGTTTTTATTTGGAGTGTCATTAGCTGGGGTGAGTGATATGGCAAATATATATTTCAAAATAATATTTTATAATATTAGACAGTAAACAGGCAGACGCTTGTCTCGAGCCACTTACGGTCTGTTTTGTCTTTGTCTCTTACAGCCATGTTGTGTGAATTTTAGGCCTTGAAAATCTTTAATTATTTTTTCTTTGGCATTCATCAACAAAGTATTCATCAAAGTAAGCGCTTAACCTTCAGATGATGTTATTTTCCCACATATGTGTCAAACCACATACTACACCTGTATGAGCTCTTTTTTTCTGAAATGTACAGCATTTTTTGCAACCCAGGTAACAATTTTTAGGATAATGTATAAACAGCATTTAAAAGACTGTGTTAGTTGAATTAATTATTTTCTAGCAAGAAATACATTTATGAAATGTTTTTTTGAACTTTCAAAATAAATAATAAAAATCCAAAGTTTGCTGTGTTTTCTATTCCTCATACACATGACTTCAGAGACCTTAGTTTTTTCTCTCTATACAAAAAAATTTTGTGTATCAGTGATTTTAACTAATGACTCACACAACCAAATTGACACTTCTGGTAACACAACATAGTCTTCAATGTTTTAATACTATTTTCACTAAAGTGACTGAATGACAGGGTTGAATACAGATCATATTCCCTGTTAAGTTGACATTAAAACAGTAAAAACATAAAAGTATACAATGTAAAGCAGAAGGGAAAGTTTAAAAATTATTTTAATCAAATGGGGTGCAGGATTGGGTAACAGACAAAATGTGGGACCCAGTTTACAATGACTTTATTTGTAAATTAAATTATTTGATGAAAATAATTCTTATAACATTTATCATTACAATAACATTGTAATAAAAGTGTTGCTGGACGATTTTAATGAATATATATCATAGATAAGTTAATGGTCAGTGAGGTGGGACAGCCAAACTCACCATATTAAAGGTGGACATAGACGTTTTAGGTGTTTTTGTGATCATCTGAAAGCCTCAACAAAATTTGAACGCTAATTTTAATAGATCTCTCATAGATCATAAAAAGATAGATAATAAGGAGGATACTGAAAATAACAACATATGGTATATGCGAGTGTCTCATGTAAATACTTTGCAATTGACCTAAATACCAAAACAATTACACCGGATAATCCGAGGTCTGTAAGTGTTCACTGTCCAGTCTGCGAGTTCCTCGCATTGAGGTCCCAGCAAGAGGTTGTTTGTTATGGGTGAGATAAAAGCCTCTGTTGACCAGGTGGTGGCGCTGCAGTACTAGAACTGTGGTTCTCCAACCCCAGCAGAGCGGAGAAGAAGAGTCCCGTCTGCTGGACCGGACTGACAGAAGCTCCGGAGGTGAGCAGCGGTTTGGTTTAACACTCGCTGTCCGCGGGTCGCGTTACCGTTTATCCCGACAGACACGGCGGAGAATCTGCTCTGTTCTTTTTAGAAAGCTGGGACACAAAACGCCGCGTGTACAAAATAAACACGCCCTGATAAAAAAAACAACAACGACAGAAAAAACAGCTCAGACCAGCATGAACTCCGGGCTGGTCTGAGCTGGTTTATGCTGGTCTGCTGGTTTAGCTGGTCCGTTTGGCAGCATTCAAAATAAGACATACTGGTTTGGCCGGTGAGTAGTGCTGGTGTTTTCTGTGTCTTTTCTGGGTCTTTTATGGGTATTTTATTGTTTTTTTTGTTGTTTCTTGTTAACAGAGAACGCATTATTTTCGGTCCAGAGCTGTATTTATGTCTTTACACGAGATATGCTTATTAAACTGTTATTACATGTTGTTCGTGTTCTTATCGAAAGGAGATTTAAAGTGCTGTAGAAGAAGCTCATATGTCCTTTATATGCTACCATTACCAAGTTAGATCTGTCATTATCATACTGTAACGTTACTGTACAGAGGAATCCTTTAGTTGAATGTCTTTCTCAGCTCCATCGTTAATTTATGCACGTTGGTAGATCTTAGAGACCAGTGTGAATGTGGAAGGAAGCACTGAGACACTGTGCAGGTATAAACAATGGATAAATGTGGACAGACATACAGGGGCATATTAAATGTGCTAAGTGGGCAAAATGGGTAGGTAAATAACGCCTGGGTCTAGATCTCGTGGATCAGAATGAAGTTCTGAGTGAAAGCTGGTATGTTTGGGAGGTTCCTGGTGATTGGCCAGTGGACTAAGATGTGGTAGGAACCGCCCTAGCAGATGTCAAAATGAGGGTAGTGGGTGCGAGCCTTTCTTGAAAGTGTGAGTGTAAATAAACTGGTGGGGTGAGTAGGATCTTTTGTCATGAAGTAAGTCTTCCTGCAGACCTCTGCGACAGGAGAGCAAACTTCTGTAGTGGTTCTGAATAGACGCTTATGAAATCTTTGACAACAGTCTATTGTTTGAGGTAAAAGGATGCATGTAAAGGGTGTATTTACTCAAACAATACTAAGACTTGGTGGAGGATGCGGTGCGAAATACCAGAAAACAGTAGACATAACGTTTTAAAAATAAAACGTCTGCATTTAGCTCGTTATTTAATTGCATGCTACAAGCCAGTTGCATCCCAAGTAGTTGCTAATGTTCCTTGTTTAAAATAGCATGTAAAGAAAATTATTTCATCTGACTTATATGCCTGTGTGATTATACTAATGTTTTTTTTTTTCCTTTTCTCCTCCAGAAATGAAGGACATCCCATTATAGGACGTCTCCTGCTTTTCCTATTAAGTATAAATTGACTTTCAAACACATCAGGAGTTGGCACCCAAAGGAATATGTCACTACTGAAAACAGGAGAGATTAAATGTGAGAATGCGGTCTTCAGAAGTTGTTCCAGTTCTCAGCAACCATCTTTCAGCACTCTCCAAACCGCCACCTCTTCCACCCAAACGGAGAAAAATACTGCCACGGTATGTTTTAATCAGCCGAGTGCTATCCAACTACATCGCATTTTTACAGAAGAGAAACCACATCAGTGCTCAGAGTGTGGAAAGCGCTTTACCTATCATAGAAGTCTCGAAAGACACAAGCGCATGCACACAGGAGAGAAACCACATCAGTGTTCAGACTGCGGGAAAAGTTTTTATCGAAAAAATAATCTCCAGACGCACCAGCGTGTTCACACAGGAGAGAAGCCGTATCACTGCTTGGAGTGCGGGAAGAGTTTTAGTCATCTGGGAAGTCTCCAAAGACACAAGTGCATTCAAACAGAACACAAATCATATCAGTGCTTAGACTGCGGGAAGGGTTTTACTCACCTGAGTAATCTCCAGACACACCAGCGCATTCACACAGGAGAGAAACCGTATCAGTGCTCAGAGTGTGGAAAGACTTTTAACGACCACAATAATCTCCAGGCACACCAGCGCACTCACATGGAAGAGAAGCCATATTGCTGCTCAGAGTGTGGAAGTGGCTTTACTGTATACAGTCTTCTCCAAAGACACCAGCAAATCCACAGAGGAGAGAAAGAGTATCACTGCCCTGAGTGTGGCAAAAGCTTCAGTTGTCAGAGAAGTGTCCAGAGACACCAGGTTGTTCACACAGGAGAGAAACCGTATTGGTGCTCAGAGTGTGGGAAGAGTTTTAATAACCAGAATAATCTTCAGGTGCACCAGCGGATTCACACCGGAGAAAAGCCATATGAGTGTTCGGAGTGTGGAAAGACTTTTAAAAACCAGAATAATCTCCAAGTACACCAGCGCATTCACACAGGAGAGAAGCCGTATTTCTGCTTCCAGTGTGGAAAGAGTTTTGGAGATAGAGGTGCATTCAAAGTACACCAGCGCACTCATTCGCTAGAAAAGCCGTACCACTGTGCAGAGTGTGGGAAGGGTTTTAAAGAGAAAGGGACCCTTAAAAGACACCAGCGTATCCACACGGGAGAGAAACCCTTCTGCTGTTCAGACTGTGGAAAGAGTTTTAGAGAGAGAAGTACACTGAACACACACCAGCGCACTCACACTGGAGAGAAACCCTATCAGTGCTCAGAGTGTGGGAAGAGCTTTACTGTACCCAGTAGTCTCCAACTACACCAGCGCACTCACACAGGAGAGAAGCCGTATCACTGCTCCGAGTGTGAGAAGAGCTTCACCTTACAAAGTCATCTTCAAAGACACCAGCAAATCCACACAGGAGAGAAGCCGTATCACTGCTCAGAATGCAGGAAGAACTTCAGGCATTCAAACACTTTAAAGACACATAAATGCACCCCTGTGAGGGATGGTGATAGTTCTGTAACTGTGGATCTTGAACCTGTTTCCAGTGATGAAGCAGAAGATCCAGCTTTGATCAGTGCTCCCACAGAGTTTTTAGAGGAAGAGCACCATTTAGAGTAGGAAATCGTCCAACTTATTCACATTTATACATCGTGACAATGAGAGATCATGCTTTAACAGGATGTAAAGAAGTCCAGAAGTTAAATTAGAATTTGGGAGGTGGAGGAGCTCTACTTTTTTCCTGCTGAAGGGCTCACACTACCGCTGTTACCGCTGAGAATTTCAAACATGAAATATTGAAAATATCGAGGCATCTACAAAAGCTTGCAAACTGGGAAAAATTGCCTTATTCAACTGTTCACTCTACACCATCTTGGATATGCAATCACAAATCCCAAAAATGAAATTTGGGGTTTAAATTGTGTACATGATGTACACAAGTACAAATGCCATGCAAAATGAATGAAAACAAATGCTTGTCCACTCCCAAATGTAAAGCATGCCATCAACAGCACTGTTGTTTCCAAGAGGTCACTGACAACCAAACAATCTAGAGAAGCGCAGCAACAGTAAAGCCTGTTGGGGGACATTGTTGCTAAAATTGTGTAGTGTGCACTTACACTTCAGAAACAAGCTATGAAGTGTTACAAAGGGAGGAATGTAAAGCTGTTTAGGGGTTATCTGTCAGTGCACATGATCACATTGAGGAGGGAAATGGGTTTTAATAAGACTATCAGGAATGGTTTGTTACATCCAATGTCACATTCATGTTCTAGATTAGGGTGTGCTCTCAGTTGATGTGTCCTGTTTTATTTTATTCCTGCCTAGTAGTGATTTTATTTATTGTTCTTCAATATTATTCTTGCTATTTAGTATTATTATTGAAGTATTATAATCAGTATGATTGAAAATGCTCTTGTAATGCTGAAATGTGATTTCTATTAAATTTTACAATGTTATGATTTGAATGTTATGATTTTGATCTTCTTATACGTTTCCATCACAGAAATTATTTATAGGCATTTCTGATACATTTCCCAATTTCTATATAAGTAATAATACTTTAAATCTAGTCTGACGGTAAATCATTCAGCAGTTTTCATGCGCAGCTGCCCGAGTCTGCTCAGAACAAAGTAGCAGATTTTATTCATGGTTTGTGGTTTTTCTGTGCAACACAATCTGTAGTTAAAGTAGTTGTAGTTTAACTTTGAATGCTAGTTTATCATTTACATCCCATATGCGTAATATTTCCAAGACTATATTTTATCACATGAGAAATACATCCTAACACTACAAGATTCTGAGAAATTAGTTCATGTTTTCATAATTGCTAGATTAGTCTACTGTAATGTGTTGCTGACTGCCATACTCTTATATACTTACCAGAAAAAGAATGTCTGATCGTGTCTCCAGTTTTATTCAGTTTACACTGACTTCCTGTTAAGTTCCACTGATTGCTAAGTTTTTATGGCATTTAAAGTTGAGCTCTGGTATATCTTACTGATCTGTTGAACAATTATAACTTTGCCAGACCACTTCACTCAGCTGAAGCAGGCCCATTTGCTCCTTTTAACTGTCTACACTGTGTGTAGTTCTCATCAGTGGAGTGTTTTTATTCTAGATTCTCCTTCAGTAGTAATTTGAGATTTTCTTTGTCCACAAGCTACATCTCTTTCCCCAGTGGCTTCAGCCCTGACTCATTTATCTTAATCTGTGCCTGTAAGTGAAAGGATATTGCATTTAAGTCATATTAGATTTGTGGTTACATTAGATTCCTTGCAGCAGAAGAGTTAGCAAGCTTAAAACCTTCAGTGTTAAAAAGGTTGGGTGTAAACAACATTCCTCAGAACAAGAGAAGATTGTGGCAACAAAGGCTATGCACTGTCTGCAGAAACCACACCCAAATACGCTGAAAATAAAAACTTGTGTGTTAAAAATGCAAATGTGCATACTAACTTTAGTTCCTAAGGAATGGGGGTTGCTGATGGGTGCATCTTCTTATAGAGGCTGGAAGGATCCACAGTAATCCTGGGAGGGGGAGCACAGTGAAACCTGTAATAAGAGAAACATTGCCAAATAATATTTGATGAACATATGAATAGACTTACTATTAAGAGTATTTAAAAGGGAACCATGGTGTCAAAAGTAGACATGTCTGGTTCTTTGTAAATATTCTGGTATGATCCTGGGTGGCATGGAGAAAAACCATATCAGCGCTCAGAGTGCGAAAAGAGCTTTTTTCAACAGAGTAATCTCCAAACACAGCAGCTCACTCACACAGGTAAGAAGCCATATCTTTGCTTAGAGTGTGGGATTAGATTTAAGGAGGAAAGTACCCTTCAAAAACACCAGCATATTCATACAGGACAGAAGCCATACCAGTGCTTACAATTTCCAAAATTCTGTAATTCTCTTCTCACTCAGACTCAGCTTTGAACAAAACTGTATTTCTGCAACTTAGATTACAAACACTGTTAGAAAACACTGAACTGCAGATCCTGACCTTAACTGCGTATCAGTTTACACATACTATATCAATAATAGAAGCCAAACAATCACAAGTACTATATCAGACAACAATAGAAGCCCAAAAACTACATTGACTATAAAGACAAACTGCTAATTGAATGTATGTAAAATCCCACTTGATTCCCATCAGAGAATCTACCTGGGTGTTGACCATCTGTAAAACAGTCACCAAACACTTACACCATGTCTGTAACCAAGTTGAAAAGATACTGCAGTATCAACAAAGATGAACAGTCTGGATTGTTAAAATCTGAGGTAAAAGCACTCAGAAAGCATGCAGATGATTTGTCAGAGCTTGCAAAACTATTTAAGTCAGAGGACCTACAGAGACTGTTAAAGCAGGGAAGAATAACTTTAGATAGGACAGAAAACATCAACCCAGTTATTCAATTTCTGTTACTTTTCTTTGGTTTTCTCTCTGTTTTTGAAGATAACAGAACGCTTAGAGATTTTGAAAAACTGACAAGAAGCTGGTTTGGAGTGCAGGAGAATGAACTGGAATCAAAAGCAGGACGGTTCATTTGGAAGATGAGAGAAACAACTAATCATTTTCAGAACACCTTAAATCACTGAGCACTTCGAAAACAGAGGTAGAGAAAACGATTGTATTCAAAATGAATGAGTACTTTATAAAGAGAACAAACTGATTAATAAGGACATAGATATGCAGTTTGTTTCTTTATGGTTATGAGAGAACTGATGGAAGTGAATGGAGCTGCTGCAAGATAGTGTGTGTTATGTCACTTTCTATCTTTTCTATGTAATAGCTTTTTAATATGTTTAGTGAAAGGACTTGTGTTTTGGAGATCGGTTTGATTCTCTGTTTTTTTTTGTTTTTTTTTGTAAGTCAGCATATCCTTGAACCCATAGAGCACCATGCAGAAGTAACATTTTAAGAATTTATCAAACATAATCCTCCACAGTCTGCTGCACTTTGGTTCATGTTGTTGTTTTGGTTGTTAGCATTGGGCTGTTGTAAAGTGTGAATTTAATTGTAAATATAAATGCATATTTTATTTACTCCTTAGCTCAATTAGCTCTGATCAGCTTTCAGTGTGCATTTCAAAGGTATTGTCATAATAACTGGCATTTCTGAATAACACTGCTCCATTAATATGCATTACATAACACAGTATGTAATTAAATGTATTATATTGTAGGTTACATTTATAAATGTCTTTACTTCTCTTTGATTTCATTGAGATTTCTTGTATGTGTAAAGATCATTCCCAACAATGTCTATCATGGGGGGGGAAAAATCTTGAAAGTGGCCTTCAATGCGTTCTACACTGTAACAAATGGCTTGTCATATCTACCCAAAAAATCACTTCATGTGGTAACAAGTAAATTAACTAGTTTTATTTAACCTAAATTCATATTTTGAATAAGGGTTCTTTCAATCAAAGTAATTTTTTTGATACCAGAAACCAAAACTCCTGTTAGCATTCATATTCCAAAATGCATCATGAATATTTTCATATGATTACAGTTTATAGCTGCTGTCTTAAAAGTTCTGCAGTGGTGCCTTTTGGCTAGTGAAAGAAGTGTGCCAAGAAAGTTCTCTCTTTCCCAGCTTTCCATGGCTTACACTGAATCTGACTTCAGCCACCAGCAAAACCCTTCAAAATAAAGATGTAATAAAAAATGATACATTTGCACACATACAAATCTAGACTTTACTAAATTCGAGTAATTATGAGTCACAAGCCTACAAGTGTAGTTTTTAAAGGTTCAACTACTCATAATTTTACTGTACCATGATGTTTAATCCTATAGTTTCAGCCAGACATGTAACAGAATGTTTAAATGGAACAACCATTCTCCTCCTGTGTAATGTTCAAATCTGTAACAAACATTAATGGACATCGATTAATGCTAGACTGGGACTAAACTGCAATGTCATTTGTCTTTCACCATTTCCAGGTAGTCTAGGCTTAGGCTTAATCTTTGTATTGAACTTAACACCAAATGTGTTGTCCTTAACTGCACACAGATGTTGTAGTTAAGAACACTGATGTTTTTTACACATTCATTTTGAGAGTGTACAGTGTACAGTGTGTACAGTGTACAACTTCATTGTGAATCAGTAAGTTTTGTAATTTCATGGCAGGATTTTGAGGACAGTTTGGAAGCTTTTAGGAAAAGATTCACCAATTATTTGTGCACTTTTTTGATGTGCTGCCAAATATCCAAAGTATTAGGCCTGACTCACACATCTTGTCAGAGCACTACAAGTTACTTTTGTTAATATATTAACATTATCAATATTATCAATGAGTTGATATTATCATCATTATCATCCATCCACTGTTCTGAGTCATATATACTGCTACATATTGTCTGTATTATTGTAAGGTATTTCTCACTGCTTGTCTTGCTTTATATCAGTATATTTTCTTGAATGTTTCCATGGTCAGTTTTGATCTGACTGTTATTCTGTTATACTGAATTTCGCATATATATAATGACAATAAACCTTTGTTTGATGTGAACTGAACTGAAGTGAAACCTAATAAAGCTGAATTGAATTGTGCCACATGCATTTGTGTACAAAACTTTGAACACCCTGGTCACATTATGTTTTGTTGGTTTTCTAAGAGAAAATAAATTAACACGTGCTTTACAGAGAACACATTAAATCTGACATTTTTCTGCAAATTTTGCACCATTTCTTCATATTTGTTGAGTGCAACATATTGGAGAAAAACATCTAAAATGTGCCATAACCTTCGCACAGGATTGCACATTTTATGTTTTCCTTTTTCAGTATATACACAGTAATTGTGGTTTAAAATGGGCAGCAGTGTGTTCTCTGTAGAGGATGTGTACTCATTTGTACTTTAACCAGGGGTGCCCACACTTTTGCATACACCTGTGGCAAGGCTTGATCTGTGTGTCACCTGCTCCCCCTGCTGGAGACAGGAACATCATCATTTGAAAACGAGACTAAAGGAAACAGCTCGCACTTAAAAACACACAGACACTCCTTCCACCAGGTACGGTAACATTTTTTTAGCTGGACGTACAAACAGAAGAAGAATGCGAGGTTAGATCAGGGTTTGTTATTGTATTTTACAGGGTATCATTTTCATGTGTATTTCTGACAGCTTGTCCTAATCTAACTAAAGACCAGTGTCGACAACATGGCAGAAGCCAGTTCATCCCAGCAACCCTGTTAAATGCTGTACTGAGATTTAAACAATGGCTCTATAGACTAATGTGTCAATTCAGTTTTATGTGTAAAGCACATTTTAATGTAGAAGTTGCTCCACGCTCCTCTAGACCATGCTGGATATAAAGCTGTTATGATAAAAGCAGAGCCAGTTTACAACGACGATTAAACAGAGACACTGGAATCATAGAGAGGAGAGATCCAGGAGACAAAGCAGGGAGTGGCTGTAAAGATCTGGAGGATCTACTGATGGAGTGGGACAAATAC